AATAAAATCTAAGTGGCATATATGAGACCAAGCTCAGACTCTTCTAGTGCCTACTCTTACTTTTGGCCACTTCTCCACCAACCCATACCCATGACTTCATGGGGAGTTTCTTATGACCAGTCCGTGGAGGAGGAAAAAGTGTGGACCTGGCTCATGGATATATACGCATGATCTGCTGGTACTAGCGAGAAGCAGATGGTGGGTGCATCTCAACCCATTTGTAGATAAGGAAACTGAAGCTCAAAGAGGCAAAGTGACTTATCCAAGGTCACTCAGAGATTAATTATAGGTTGGGAATTTTAACCAAGGCCTACAGACTCTAGATTCACTCCTGATTGCAATGCCATGTAAAAGGATTATTTACCAATAGCCTCTTCCATTAAAAAAAAAAAAAAAAGTCCTTCCTGATTACTTATGGCCCCAAGTGTCCAAGAGGAACCTTCATTGTTGTAATGGGTTGTCCACAAAAATGATATGTTAAATTTGTAACCTCCGAGAGTGTGAACTTGACCTGGTTTGCAGGGTCCTTGAAGATGTTAGCAGTTGACATGAGGTCATAGCAGAGATACGTGGGTCCTGCTCCAATCTGAGTGGTGTCCTTATGAAAAAGAAGAGAACAAGCAGAGGAAAGAGGTCCTAAGGATGTACCTTCAGGCCAAGGAAGCCTGTGGCTTCCAGGAGCCAGGAGAGACAAGAAAAGATTTCCTAGAACCTTCGAAGAAAACACGGTCCTGTTGACTTCCTGAGTTTGAGCTACCAGCTTCCAGAACTGTGAAACAATACATTTCTATTGTTTTAAGTCACCTACTTTGTGGTACTTTGTCATGACAGCTCTAGAAAACTCCTACAATCTCTTGGAACAAATCAAGATCAGCTTCAAAAGGGAAGATAGAAAACCTCCATTCTAATTCTCAAAAGTCAGTGTGGTACGGTAAGCACAAGTTTGGACTTACAGTCAGTTCTACCCCCTCACTGGAGTCCTGGTGTGATGCTGTGGACTAATGCATCAGATTGCAAAGTCGTTTGAACTGCAAGGTCGGTGGTTCAAGCTCACCAGCTGCTCCTTGGAAACCCTATACAGGGTCACTATGGGTAGGAATCGACTCGACGTCACTTAACAACAACAACCCCCTCACTAATAATTTGATCAAATTACTTAACCTTTCTGGGTCATAGTTTGCTTATCTATATAATGAGAATGATAATACTAGCCTTAGTGTATAGTTTGAGTAGTGCCAAGCACAGGGCTTAACGTACAACAGATGCTTGATAAAGTTGGTATCTTTGCTGCTTGTCTACCCCATCTTTCTTCCTCCTGGGAGCCCTAGCCTGTTCTGGATCAGTCCCAAGTGCTGAAGACATTCTCTCCCCCACCCTCCACCCCCTGTCCCTATCTCTCTCACTTAACCTCCCTCCAGCACTCTCTGCCTCCTTTCCACATGACACTGCAGAACCCTGGGGTCTGAGCAAATCTAATTTTCCAAGTGGCTTCTTCAGGCCCCTGAGGAGGACAGGAAGGGAATAAGCCCTATATGAAGCACTCTTTAGACTGACAAGCAGCAGGAGAGGTGACGGTGCAGGCTGTGCTGGGAGAAGGGGTCCCAGGCCAGAGTCGCCTGGAGAGCCTGGTATCTGAGGACCCTGGTGCAGGAACCTTAGGATCTGCAGAAGCTGTGTGTGAGTCGGCCACCCACCACGCAGCATGGCAGGTGGGTCTGCAAGTGTTTCCCTGATGGAACGAAAAGACCACTAGGTTGGGGGCCAAGAGGGTGCCTCTGGGCTGCAGGAGCTTAAGGGACCATGACTCTGACAGGAATCTCCCACCCACTTCCCTGGGTTTCTAGCACCATATCTTCTTTAGTCATTTGTCTTGTTAATGCAGTTAAAGGCATCATCTTTTTAGGTTATGATGCTATGGAGTTGACTAATGTTGAGCCGAGCAATCTCTGGTTAGTCCTTGGTTCATCTTCCCAAATCTAAAAGTACAAATAGTATTCCCCAGGAAGATGGCAAGTTAACCTGTGTGCCTGGGAGTGGTAAGCACTGGCAGCCCAAACACTCGCAGGGGGAAAGTGTTGGGAGAGGGCGTGTGACCAGCTTTAGAAAAAAACCCATCTCTTTCTTGATTTTTACTGGTACATAGAACATCAGTGCTGAAGAATCCTATGTTGTTGTTGTTATTAAGTGCTGTCGAGTTGTTTCTCACTCATAGTGACCCCGTATAGGGTTTCCAAGGAGCACTGGTGAGTTTAAACCACCGACCTTTTGGTTCAAAGCAACCTTGTGGTCCAGTGCTTTATCCCACAGCACCACAATCTAAAGCAAACCCTTTCTTGGGAAAACTAAGGCACAGAAAGGGGTGTGAATTTTAGCTGGGGCTAAAAGCAGGTGCCTACCCTAGCTGAGACTCGTCCTGCTCAGGGTTGAGCCCTGCAGGCCACCAGCTACAGAACACCTGACACTGAACATGACTGGCATGACTCTGAGGTCAGGGGAGCCTGCCACTCTTTTGTGGGACTGAGGAAAGACTAAACCCCTTCCTGTGCCTCAGTTTCCCTACCTGTACAAGGAGAGCTTGCTTTAGATGTTTAGATCTCCAAGAATGCTTTACCCCTGATGTCCTAAGTGTCAGTGAAAAGCAGTGACCGTTGATTCTAGCTGGAAGATAATTTCAGTTCTGGTCCCAACTTTACCTTGACTTTTGACCTGGGACAAGTGATGTTCTACCCAATGTCATGGTTTCCTGATTTGAAGAAGGGGTAAAAAAGTCTCTTCTTCAGACCTCTGGGAGAACTAGGCAGTGCAGCAGACCACAGGTGCTGTGGGAAGCAGAGATGAAGGGAGAGGTGTTGTCATGATGATGATCCGCAGTGTAAGATAACGTTCTAACTGGAAATGCCTCTGTGAGCCCAGAACTCGCCTGGCTGCCCTGAGAGATTCATTGCAAGGAGCAGGGAGGTGCATCCTCTGGCTACTAGGAGACCCTCAGGATCATCACAGCAGAAGAGGAAGGAAAGGTCCTGAAGGCGCTTCAGAGCCTGACAGAGAAGCACCCCTCCCAAGTGCTGGGGGGGCTTCAAGAACTTCCATAACAGCCCAGACCAGCAGGGGCCCAGAGTCAGCTAGCATTGCAACCTGGCTTCTTAAGAGATGGGGAGGCTGAGGCCTGGAGTGGGGCAGAGGCAGGACTGGGGACTGAAACTCAGGGCTCCCACCCCATTTTCATCTCTTTTTCCACTGCAGTAAGTACATCTGCCTTCCCTCAAGGACGCAAAGATTATGATGATGACAATGACAGCTATTCCAGGGTCAAGGGGCTCTGGTAGCATAGTGGTTATGAGTCGGGCTGCTGACCTCAAGTTCAGCAGTTCAAAACTACCAGCCATTCCGCTATAGAAAGATGAGGCTTTCTGCACCCTTAAAGATTTACAGCCTCGTAAACCCTATACAGGGTCGCTATGAGTTGGAACCGACTCCACGGCTCAGCACAACCCCACCATGTTCTTGATCCCCATGGCAGAAATTCTGCACATTTCTGTCTTCACAATGGTTCTTAAAAACTCCAGTTGCCATCAAGTCAATTTCAGCTCATGGCCACCCCATGTGTGCTGAAGTAGACCTGTGCTTCTTAAGATTGTCAATAGTTGTATTTTTCAGAAGTAGATTGCCAGGTTTTTCTTCTGAGGCACCTCTGGGTGGATTCAAACCTCCAACCTTTCAGTTAACAGCTGAGGGTCTTAGCTATTTGTGTCTAGACCAGGGAGCACAGTGGTTCTTGGGATAAACACTGAACTTCCAACCACAAGATCAGAAATTCAAGCCCAGTAGTCCTTTTGTGGGAGAAAGATGAGGGTTTCTAGCCTCTGAAACCCTATACAGGGTCGCTATGAGTGGGAACAGACTTGACGGCACGTAAGGACAGCAACAACAGTGACTATGTCAGGTAGCTATTTTCATCTCCATTTTATAGATGAGGAAATGGAGGCTAAGACAAGTTAAGTGTCTTGCCCCAGGTGAGTGGCTTTGTTGGACTCTGTATAATCGATTTCAGCTCGTAGCAACCCCTTGTGACAGAATAGAACTGGCCCCATAGAGTTTTCTAGGCCTTTCTCCATTGGAGTCACTGGGTGAGTATGAATTGCCAACCTTTTGGCTTAATTGTTGAGCTACCAACACTCCTCAAGGGTAGTGGCCACTTTTGCTGTTGTTACATGTTGTTGAGTCTGTTCCAACTCATAGCAAATCTGTGTAGGTTTTCCAATGAGCAGTTTGTGGCTCTGAACTGCTGACCTTGGGGTTAACAGTCCAGTGCTTATCCTACAACACTGCACCAGGACTCCAGGTTAGTGGCTAGTGAGTGATAGAATCAGAATTTCTTCCTTGGAGGTGATTCCAAGGTCCTTCTTATCCCCCTGCACTCAACATCATTTGTAATGAGCGATTCTATAAGACAACCATTGTGAGCTGAACTATTCTCTGTCAATCTATTGCCATGATTTCTCCCTTCACTCATCCTCTAAGGTAGGCCAGGTTCTCCGGGCACCCCTCTGGGTCCAGACTCACCTAGCACAGGGTCCCCCCTGCCCCTTACCCTCCCAGCACCATCCCACTTACTCAGCTGAACCGGTGACTGTAAGTAACTTGGCACTCCTGGGTAGCAGTCATAGTTTGCAATGAGTGACTCTATACGACATCATCCCAGAGACACTCTCCTAGCGTCCAGTTGTCATTATAGTTGTGTTCTAGGGAAACCCTCTCTGAGCCAGCCCTCTTCAGCCCACAGGACCTCCCACACCTCAGGTTCCTCTGCTCACTGCCCAAACATGTGGTCAGCTCTTCCCTTGCCTGGAGCTGCCTCCATATTAGCCTGGACATTTCTTAAGGGCTGAGACTGGATCTTATGCCTTCCCAGGCCACTCATGATGAAAGGCTGGGGCTGTACAAATGGTGTAAGAGGCAAGAGGACTGAGCCCTGTGGGTGGGAGTGGGAGGTGACAGGGATGCAGGTGGAGGTAAGCAAGAGTCCCAGAACCTCAGAACAGGCACCACAGTCCTGGAACAGCAGGGTGAGGTGGGAATTGTCCAAATGTCCTGGTCAAGGTCGTGAGTGGGGGATGAGCTGAACGAACACATTGGGGTCACATCCTATCTACCAACTCAATGATCATTTCCTCATCTGCACAATATGTTTAGAAAGAATATTTTACCAGAACAGGTTGGGGAGGGGGATCAGCATTGAGACACGTACACGCATTATAAAGCACAAGTGCCATGAGACTCCCTGCAGCCAGGAGTCTCCAGTTACTCTGACCAGCAGAGTACGTACTGTGAGGTGACACTGGGAACGTAAGAGGCAGGGGGCACCCTGTGGTAGGTGAGTCTGGACCCAAAAGGTCACCAGAAGAACCTGGTCTACCTTAAAGGGTAAGTGAGGGGAGGAGAAATAATAGCAAGGAAATTATTAACAAGGAACGTCTGCCTTGAGAGTTGCGCTCTCTTTAAGAATGATCAATAAGGGATCAAACTGGCAACAGCAACTCAAAGATGAGATAAGAAATGTAGCAGGAAGTGAGTTTATGTTAATTGTAGAAAATTCAGAAAAGGGGGCGCACAACTCGAACAGTGTGATCAATGACACTGAATTGTACTCTGTAAGAACCATTGAATTGGCATAGGTTTTGCTGTGTGTATTTTTAGCAACAGCACAATAAATAGAGTAATTTCAAAAAATAGTCACAGGTTCAAAGAGGTAGAATTTATTGAACGCCTTTTAGGTGTTCTTACGAGAGGCTGTGCCAAATGCTACACATGATGCCATGCAGTCACCACGAGGACTCGATAACGTAGCTTTCACCACATCTTACAGAGGAGGAAAAACGAGGGTCAGAAAACCTCAGTGGTCGCTCCGTGTCACAGGAAGTGGTAAGCAGGGGTCTGGCTAGCTCCGACTCTGTCTCCCATGTACACAGAAATTAAGCGCTAGCCTGGGCTTAAGCATCACAGGACTGTGAACCAGCTCTAGGGAGGGTGCCAAGTCCCCAAAGTTGGGGTTCCTTGGAGAGCATAGATCCAAATTCCTTGTTTATCAGATGGGTCTCTAGCAGGGGTGTTTGTCTCAAAATCTCAAAGTGTTGGTGGAAAATTCTAGAAAACAAACCTTGTCTTCATCTCCCTTTTTTCCAGGACTGCAGGGGGGCTTGCATTCTGAAGGTTGGTGCTGGATGCAGCCACATGGTCAGACCCTCCCACGCTACCAGGGTCTATGGGGGTCCACCCTGAGTCTACCAAGAAAAGGTCCTTTTCTGCCCCTTCTCTCTGTGATGCTTTGGGGTACCCTCCTGTGTGCTTGCTTCCTTCCCTATCCAACCTTGGGAACACAGACCTTTACCTTAGGGGTGCTGGGCCCCTGGGACTGTGACCCTATCTTTGCCCAGGCACTCCCCAGTGTGGCCGCCCAACTGGCTGTGGACTGGGCTAACCAAGACCCCTCCATGTTGCTGGGCTCACAGCTGGATTCTGTAGCTCTCCCCACAGGCTGTGCCACACCTCAGGCCCTGGCCACGTTCCTGGCCCACAAAGACAGCATAGCTGCTTTTGTGGGCCCTGTCAATCCTGGCTACTGCCCAGCAGCAAGCTTGCTGGCCCAAGACTGGGGGAAGACCCTCTTCTCCTGGGTGTGTGAGGTTCCAGAGGGAGGGCCTGAGCTGGTGCCCACTTTGCCTTCTGCTGCCCATGTGCTGCTGTCCATCCTGCGTCACTTTGGCTGGGCCCGCGTGGCCATTGTGTCCTCCCACCAGGACATCTGGCTGGCCACAGCCCGACAGGTGGCCACGATTTTCAGGATGCATGGGCTGCCTGTAGGCCTGGTGACTTCTTTGGGACCTGGGGAGCAGGGGGCCTCAGAGGTCCTGGAGCAGCTCTGCAGTGTGGACGATCTGAAAAGTAAGTGTCTGTGGGTGTCTTCCTCCTGTGAGCAGCTTGGGCTTCATCTGGTGGGGAGTATCCACTGCATCAGACACAGGCTGGCCACTGGACAATGACACTGCATTGAGTCTCACAACAGCCTGTGAGCAGTACTGCTGAGACCCCCTTTGTATAGCTCAGAGAAGGTCAGTTACTTGCCCAGGTCTGCCAAGTGGCACAACTAGACTCAGAACTCTGTCTGATTCAAGCATCGGTGGAGGAGTGGGAGCAAAGGGCATTCATTATTGGTTCTCACCTGGGAAAATAAAGGAAGTAAGAGTGGAGCAGGAACTGAGCCCCAGCAAGAGAGTTAGAATCATTTGTTTTGTTGTTAGGTGCTGTCGAGTCAGTTCTGATTCACAGCAAGCCTCTGTGCAGCAGACTTAATGCCTGGTCCTGCACCATCCTCACAATTGGTATGTTTGAACCCATTGTTTGGGTCACTGCCGACCCTCTACTTTATCAAGCATGATAAAGTATCAGGAACTGGTCCCTCCTGATAAGGTGTCTTAAGTACGAGAGATGAAGTCTCTTCATCCTGGTTTCTAAGGAGCATGATGGCTGTACTTCCTCTGAGACAGATTTACTTGCTCTTCAGGAAGCCACTTGTAGCTAGCTTCTTGGGATTGAGGTCATTGCCTTGATGGATTTGATTGATTCCTGAACTTATTTAACACCTGCCTAGGCTGGTACTGAGGAGGTAACTGTGATGGAGTGACAGGCAGGTCAGCAGGTGGTTCTGACAGACAAGTCAGGGCCCTCCCAGGTAGTCGAGCCCTGAGAAGGGAGCAGGCCTGTGGCTGGGCCCTGGAAGCTCTGAGGAGGCTTCTTGGAGGAGCTGGTGCTTAGTCTGTCTTTAGGGAAGTCATCAGGAAAGGCATGGCGGGTAAGGTGTAGGGGAGAGATACACCTGGAAGACAGAAGGGATCTTAGAGTTTAACTATACTAGTTAATCGAGTTTAAAACTATGCTTTGTGGTCCACTTGGGTGAAGAAATCAACTTAGTAAATCATGACCCAAAAAAACCCAAACCACTGCCATTGAGTCGATTCCAACTCACAGGAGTCCTACGTAGGGCTCCCTTGGCTGTAACTACAGGAGCAGAAAGCCTCCTCCTTCTCCTATGGAACAGCTGGTGGATTCAAATGCTGACCTTGTGGTTAGCAGCTCAACATGTAACCCACTATGTCACCAGGCCTCCAAAATCATGACCAGGAAAATGAAAAAAGAAAGAGAATGGGCAGAGAAGAATGCCATTGAGTAGAATAGAATAAAGGGAATGGAGTAAGAATAGTAAATGTGAGTTCATTTGCAGGCAGTAGAAGTAATTAGAGAGGGGCTCTGATGGTGCAAAAGGTTGGCAGTTTGAATCCACCAGCCACTCCATGGGAGAAGGAGGTAGCAGTCTGCTTCCCTAAAGATTACAGACTTGGAAGCTCTATGGGTCCTTCTACCTGTCCTATAGGGTTGTCCTACAAGTTGTCATGACTTAATGGCAATGGATAAGGGCTGGTAGAAGGATCCCTGGTGGCCCAAGTGTTAAGCACTTGGCTGCTAACTAAAAGGTTGGAAGTTCAAATCCATCTAGGAACTCAGAGGGAGAATAGACCTGACCATCTGCTCCCATAAAGATGACAGCCTAGAAAGCCCTGCAGGCCAGTTTGACTGTCGTCTGAGGTCACTACGAATTGGGATCAATTTGATGGCATCTAGCTGCTCCTCAGAGATCCTATACAGGGTAACTATGAGTTGGAATTGACTCAAAAGCACTTTAACAACAGCAGAAGCATTGCTCTTTGAAACTTCCTTGCATTTTGTGAGTGTGCTCAGGTTTTACAGATTCAGTTTTGTGAGTAAACTTGTATTTCTTACTGTTGTTGTTGTTGTTGTTGTTGTTAGTACCATTGAGTCAGTACTGACTCATAGCGACCTTATGCATAGCAGAATGAAACACTGCCCGATCCTGAGCCAACCTAACTTTTGTTGCCACTCTTGAGCCCATTGATGCTGCCACTTGCCCAATCCATCACGCTAGGGGGTGTTTCTCTTTTTATCTGAACACTGTTTAAAAGCCACTGAGACAAACTACCAGGTTTGTTATTGGAGGAAATTGAGGCTAGGGCCTGCAGGGAGAGTGGGGTGGTCAGCCTTCTGGACTCCTGTGGCGGGTTAGTGAGTTACAGTCTAGTCCAGAGTAAGACCTGGCCCAGGTGTGCAGGCTGCAATCACAGAGACCATGTTTCACTCTTCTGAGGCCTGGTCTTCCAAGAGGTGAAGCGAGGCTAATGAAATGCATCTTGCATGGTCACGAGGAGCAGATGTAGAAGATCTGGTGCTTCACTCAATCAAGACTCCCTGAGCACTGCTCTGTGTGGACCCTGGCTGGGCTCCAAGGACATGGGGAGGAACTGTCGGCCCCAGAGTCTGGCAGTGGAACATATGTGTAAACTGTTGCAACAGCACAGGGGACAGAGGAGTCTAAGGTTAAGTCCTCCTTGGAGGACTTCACACTGAAGACCACATAATGTCACTCTAATGTGACCTTAGAGCTGGGCCTAAAAATGAAAAGGAGATTGCAGATGAAGATGAGGGGAATGGACTTCCAGGCAGAGGGACTAGCTCATGCATAGAGAACTAGAGAATGGTGGCAGTTCCGTTCTGTGGGGATGGAGTCTGGGGGCAAGGGATAGGGAAACCTGACCAGACTCCTTCTCCAACCCTTTGCAGAGGCTTGAGTTCAATTTATGGTTCAGGTATTCAGGAGCCAGGATGGCAGAGTAGGTAGGATACCTACCTGGAGTCAGACTTCCGAGTCCCACTCCTGGACCCACCTCTTACTAGCTATGTGACCTCAGGCAAGTTTTGAAAGTTCCTTGTGGTTCAAACTGACCTAGCAGTCCAGCGCCACACCAGGATTCCTCCTCATCAATGGCACAGGGCAAATCCAAACTTCCTGGGTGATGCAAATGTTTAACACACTCAGTTGTTAACGGAAAAATTGAGAGTCCTGCCAGAGACACCTCCAAAGAAAGGCCTGGCTTTCTCCAGAAAAAGCAGGCCTATGAAGCACCATTGTACTACACAACTCTACTAGGGAGGGGCTTTGATTGGCCAGTTGCTATCAAGTTGTGAAGATGAGACGGGCTACTGCAGAAATAAGGCTTAGAACGCGGGCCTATGTACAATGCTCATTCAGTCACTGCCGGCTGTTCCCTGCATCAAGCATGACCCAGGGACTCAGGAGAGGTCCGGGCTTCAGGCTCTGACTTCCACATGAGTAGTTCTCAGGTTCTAGCAAGCAGACCCCCATCTTTCCTGGGTGGCTCAATTTTCCTGGGTATTCTGGAGAAAGTGGTTGCAGAGGAAACTCAGGCCACATTCAAAGCAAGTGACTATTTTTTTGGCTGTAGTTCTAAGTGAGGAAGAAATACATTCTACTCCCTGCCCCCCATTCCCAAAATGCAGAGGAAGATCAATATGGGTCTAATGCCTCTGGGAGAGGCTCCTTTTGGTTCTGGATGCTCTGGGGGGTGAAATTGGTTGCCTTATGACCAAGAAGCTACTCTGCTGACTTTCCTACGTAGTGCAAACAGTTAGCAGGTTCAACAGCTCGCTGGAAAGTTAGAGGCTCAGAGGTGTCTTGGAAGAAAAGCCTGATGGTTTATAATCAGCCACTGAAGACTCTATGGTGGCCAGTTCCACTCTGGTACATGTGGATTTGCTATGAGTTGGAATTAGCTCAAAGGCAGTAGTACTGGTATTGCATATCTTCTACTAGCGCAAAAGGAGTTCTGCTAGCATAGTAGATTACAAGCTGGGCTGCTAACCACAAGGTTAGCAGTTCAAATCTAACAGTCGCTATGCAAGAGAAGATGAGACTTTCTGTTTCTATAAAGATTTGCAGCCTTGGAAACCCTATCCAGGGTGACTATGAGTCGGAACCAATTCAGTGACACACAGCCACTAGGGCAAAGGCAAATGTGTTCATGTCCATTAGACCTTGAAGACAGTATGTGGTGTAACCCAGGGCCACAGTGAATTGCAAGCCATGCACCACCTGCTCAGGTTTAAATCCTGGCTCTAGCCCCACAGTGCTTAAGTATCCTGGGTGACAATCTAACTACTGAATGACTAAATGTTTATAAAAGTACTTTAGGACATAAACATTAGTTAAAGTCAATGGGGTAGAGGAAGAGTAGGAAGTTGGTGACGTGATTGGTGGGCAGGTTGGAAGGGACATATTGATACAAATATATTATCAATCAAGGGGATTTTTTACATAAGTATGAACCCAGATGTGGTGGCCTTGGCTGTTACTGCTACAGAGAGAGCAGATTAAGGGGAACCTACTTCTACCTTTCCCAGAGTGATGGGAAGGGAAGAGGACTGGGGAGTGATGGCAGAGAGCAGGCTCCCCATGGGGCTCTGAATCCCAGGCTTTGGGAGCTGGGCTGCCGAGATGACCTGGCATCTCTGCCCCCAGTCGTGGTGCTGTGCATGCACTCAGCGCTCCTGGATGGCCCGGAGCAGTCTGCTCTGCTGAGTCGTGTGTGGACCGAAGGCCTGGCCGATGGGAGGCTCGTCTTCATGCCCTATGACACTCTGCTGTTTGCCCTGCCCTATCGCAACCACTCCTACCCAGCGCTCCGTGACAGGGGATCCCTGCAGCAGGTCTACGACACGGTACTCACTGTCAGTCTGGAGTCCGGCCCCACCGATCAGACCTTCACCACAGCCACAGCAGATGCCCATAAGCAGGTTAGTGAGAACCTCTCAGGCCTTCATAAGACCCCGCAGGACCTGGGGCCATAGGCACACTGCATGGGCTCCTTGTTCACTCCCAACCTGATGGCCTTGTCCAGTCACCCAGCCTCTATGGGCATGGGACCAATCTCTCATTTGACAAAGCGTCTCTCTTCCTATCCCTGGGCATATCCAATTGCTTCCTTTCTCTCCCTCTGTCTCTCTGACTCTGCGTGTCTGTCTCATAAGTGTGTGGGGTGGGTGGATGTGTATAACTGTCTCTCTTACATTTCTCACTCTTGGCTTCTTTGTTCATTCTTCTTCTCTTGTGTCTCTTCTGCTTCTATTTTTCTCTTTGACTCTCAATTTCTCTACTTCTTCTGGCCTAGCTACTCTTTCTCTGGAAGACATTCTTCTCCTTTCTGTGGATCTCTTTAGCAAATTCTGAAAACTAGAAGGGAAGAGTGTTGGGAGTGTGGGAGAATGCAAGAGAGGGGTTTTCTGAAGTCACTACAGTGGATGTAAAGAACTCTGCGGGGAGGCGTGGGATAGAGCTACTGGCTTGGTTTGGGCCTATAGGATTTAGTTGAACTCAAGTTGGTGATCAGAAGACGATAGTGTCTGAAGGTGATAACAGGCATGTAGATGCTGATGGAAGGCTAACCAATCAGTCATTCATTTGACAAAAGTGGATTGAGTCCCTGTCATGAGTCACTGTGCCAGATGTCAGGGATGCAGTGGTGGACAAGACAGACCTGGTTTTCAGGGAGCTTCAATTCTGAGAGAGAGCCAGACAACAGCCAGGTGACCAAATTCAATAGCACTAATGCCACCATAGAAGGAGCTCTGGTAGTGTAGTGGTTACGAATCGGGCTGCGAACCTTAAGGTCAGCGGTTCGAAACTACCAGTTGCACCGCTGGAGAAAGATGAGGCTTTCTACTCCCGTAAAGATTTACACCCTCGGAAACCCTATACAGGGTCGCTATGGGTCGGAACCGACTCGATGGCACATAACAACAGCAACAACAATGCCACCATAAAAATGCAGCAGGTTAAAGTGATAGAAAGGCCAAGGTACAGTCATGGGCAACAAGAGGTGAGAGTGGCAGGGAAGGCCTCTCTGAGGAGCGGACACTTGAGCTAAGATCTGAATGATAAGGAGGCAGCCTAATGGAGCTCTGGATAAACAGACCAGGTGAAGGCCGGAGGAGCAGATGGCAGGAGTGTGGAGTGGCTGGTATGTCAGGAGTGGTGGAGAGAGGGGTCCAGGAGGAATCCAGGGACCGGATCATGTAACCCAGAGTGAGAAGTCTGAACTTCAATATAAATAAAATGGGAAACAATTAGTGGGGTTTAAGTAAGAAATGATTTGATGGATTAAAAGAAACAAACAAACCAGAAAAAACAACAACACACTTTGGCTGCCTTATTCAGGGAATGGCCTGAAGAGGGCAAGATGAAGCAAGGAGGCCCTTAGCAGTCTCCTGTGTGATCCAGGGGTGGGCAGTGAGGTGGCTCGGACCCAGGGGTAGGAGTGGAGGTAATGAGAAGTTGGTTAGATTGAGGATAGACTCTGAAGTATAGCCCAAAAGATCTGACAATGAATTGAAAGAGAGAAGAAGTGTCATTGGGGATCAAACCTGGACTTCTTGACTTTAGAAATCAGGCAACTTGTAGTTTTGTTTTCTAAAATGGGGAGAAATGGAACCAGGAGTTGTTTTGTGCATAATAATAAAGTTTGAGATGCCCGTGAGACATCAGAGTTGATGGTGGTGGCCATGGAGACTGGGTAGAGTCTGGGGTAAGGGTAGCACTGAAGAAAGGATTGTGTGCTTGTGTGTAACAATAATCTCAGGAATTGCTGCTGGAAAGAGAGCTAGAGCTCTGGCTTCAAATAGAAGTATTTGGGAGCCTATGCCATGGGATTGGGGTGCCTTCTCCTCTGCAGGTGTCCCCGCTGTTTGGAACCATCTATGATGCTGTGGTCCTGCTGGCCCATGCACTGAATCGCTCTGAGAATCATGGCGCAGGACTCTACGGGACCCATTTAGGGAACTACACAGGGTCTCTGGACGTGGATGGCTTTAGCCAGAGGATCCGTACAGATGAGAAGGGCAGGAGGCTGGCCCAATATGTCATCCTGGACACAGATGGTTGGGGAAGCCAGCTGGTCCCCACCCACATCCTGGACACAGGCACATGGCAAGTGCAGCCTTTGGGCAGGGCCATACACTTTCCAGGAGGGGCTCCTCCAGCTCGTGACTCCAGCTGCTGGTTTGATCCCAATACTCTATGCATGCGAGGTAATTCAACATCTGTTCATCCATCCATCCATCTATTCATTAATAGATCCATCCATCCATCAATTCATCAACCTATCCAATATTCAAGAAGGTTTTGTAGACGGTCTTAGTGAGGAATAGGGGCAGATGCAAAGACTTCATACTTTATTGTTAAATCCATTCTTCTATTGAAGTGAACCAACCAGCAGTTGCAAACACCAAGAGGACTAGCAGGGCTTCTCCTTTGATGAGCAAGGCTACAATGTTTACAAGAGCACGTCCCCATCTCTTAGCTTTCCTGAATCACACCTCAGCCCCATGCCTATGCCATTATCCTCTGTGGGCACCAGAGAACGGAAGCTCAAGAAGGTTTGGAGAAAGGTCACATAGGGAGGCACTGGCTGAGCGCACACTGAATCCACATCTATTGGCTCCAAGTGTAGGATTCCTTTTACCTCATGACCACAGGAGAGTGTGATAGGAGAAAATTCATTCCATCAGATTCCTCCCATTCATCAATGACAGATCTTTATCCCTAATGAAATTGTACAGACATACATGTGCATAGATGGATCTATAGACTAGCGCACACAAAGTGGTACAAATGGAGTCCTGGTATGGTCCTGAAGGATAATTATTGAACTGCTAACCACAAGGTCGGTAGTTCAAACCCACCAGCTACTATTTGGAAACCCTGTTCAGGGTCTCTGTGAGTTGAAACTGACTCAATGGCACTTGATAACATCAACACAGTGGTACAAATAAGCAAGTGCCTCCACATTTCCTATTGTACTCCTAGTCATGGTTACTGAAGTTAGTGGGCAGTCTCAGATTTAGCCAGGTTTGCTATGTTCCTGCTCTGCCCAGGCCTCTCTTGACCTCAACTCTGCCTGCTCTGCCACCTCATCTCCCACCATGACTCCACACACTTACTGCCTTTTCAAGCCTCCCTTTTCACATGTATTTTCTTGTTCTGTAGTTCTCATCTCTACTACCCACCCCCACCTCGCTTGACTAATCCTACTTAGTCTTCAAGTAAAGGATCCCTGGTGGTGCAGTGAATAAAATATCGGGTGCTAACCAAAAGGCTGGTGGTTCAAACTTACCAGCTGCTCTATGGGAGAAAGATTTACAGCCTTGGAAATCCTATGGGACAGTTCCACTCTGTTCTATAAGGTTGCTATGAGTTGATGGCAATGACTTTATTTTGGGGAGAGTCCTGGTGTGGTGCTGTGGGTTAATGCACCAGACTGCAAAGCTGTTTGAACTGCTAGGTCGGCAGTTCAAGCTCACCAGCTGCTCCTTGGAAACCCTATCCAGGGTCGCTATGGGTCGGAACCACCTCGATGGCACTTAACAACCACAACAATAACATTCTTCAAAAATAGCTCTGTAGTCAGGGTTGGAGATTTCTATCCTGTGCTTACCACTCCTTGGGTGTACCCAAGCGCTCATAGAGCGCTTGTTCTTCCTTATACCTAGAAGTCTCTTCTGCCACATGTCATTGGTTTGTCCCTTTACCTCTTTAAACCTCTACTCAAATCTTCCTTCCTCAGCCCTTGGTAAGAGGCAGGGTGAGGCAATGGTTAGGAGTCTAGATGTCCAATATAAAACTGCCTGGGCTTAATCCAGGCTCTGCCACTTGCCCTCTCAGTTTCATCATCTATGGAATTGTGATAATAACCATATCTAATTCAATGTCATTGTGAGGACTAACTGAGCAGGAATACATAACAGCCATAGACTGAGTGTTTGTACACAAGTATTACAAAATATCTACTGCTATTGTTCATCTCTGCATTCAACTCAGATTGGGGGATCTTAGAAGGAGGCAAGAAGGAGGGAAGGGAAGCAAGAAAGGAAGAAGGATGGAAGCCTATGTCCCCATGTTACCACTTTGGCAGCCCAGGCTGATGCTAGAATATCCAACCAAGGCAGTCCCTCACTTCACCCAGGAGATTCCAAACAGCATGTGTTTCTGGCTTCTGACATGAGGAGTGGAGATTTGGGCTAAGCACTGACTTGTTAGCTGAAATGTCTGTGGTTTGAACCCACCAAATGCTCTGTAGGAGGAAGATGTGGCAATATGCTTCCCCAAAGATTTACAGCCTCAGAAATCCTATGGGGAAGTTCTTCTCTGGACTATAGGGTCTTTATGAATTGGAATCAATTTTATAGCAGTGAATTAACAGTCAGATCCATCCACAATAAAGCTGACAAGACAGATAGTGAGTGGCCCATTGCAGGGGTGTGTGTAAGAAGAAATAGCATAACAACTGGCAAGGATATTCATCTGACAGTTTTTTATTCAGCCCCTGTCCTGTCTAGGCCCCGTGCTAGGTGCCAGGGACAGAGATAATTACAACACAGGTCTACCCTCTGTTGCTCTCAATTTAAGGGAGAGCTGACATAACACCCTAGTACAAAAGGCCTTGGAGTGATCAGATGTAATGGGGGTTGAGCAGGGACTGTGGGGTTCTGAGGTGGATACAGGCTGAGAACACAGACAGCAGTGTGGGAAATCTATGTCTGTACCCAATGACCATCCACAGGTAGGAGTTCCCACCAGGGCCCATCTTGAGATCCCACCCTGGGGAGGGGACTGGGCAGAGGTTTGCTTTCTGTTTCCTAGGGGAGGAGCTTCCCCCAGGGCCTGAAGGGGGCTGTCTTTGTGTGTGGTCTTTACTGCTCCTACTCCTGCTTGCCCTGTTTTCCCCACAGGTTCGCAGTCCCTGAGCAGCCTCCTGGGCCTGGCTGTGGCCTGTGTCCTGGTGTTGGCAGGTGGGATCCTCACCTGCCTCATTAGGTGAGACTGTCCGTGCTCCACCTGAAGGACCGCTCTCTGTGTGCACTGCCCCACAATCTGCAGAGAGCTTCCCCAGCCCTGTCTCCCAGACCACCCAGTGCTCTTCAATCCTAAAACCTCCTCAGGTTTCTCTCAGGGCCCCAGCCTGCCTCCAGAGAAGTTCCGCTTGAGGTTTAAGGAAAAAAACCTGTGACCTTGGACAAAACTCCATCCATCCCTGTTCTTCATTGGAACTGCCTGTAAAATAAGGGGTTGGGACAAGGACCCTTTTAGTTTTGAAAGAATTGTCCCTGGATGTTCTTGAACCCAGACCCTCCCTGAACTCGGGCTACATCTGTAATGGGGTTAGCCTTTCACCTACACTCCTTTCCCCAGGGCTCGGCTCCCCATGAGGCAGCTTGGAAGGGCTTAGGCTCTGAACCAGCAGGTGCACTGGGCACCCAGGGCTTCAGACCTGCGCCTGAGTTCAGCGGTGCCCTCTCAGCCCCACAGGGACTGGTGCGGAGACAGAGGGAGGATCCCTGAGTCAGACAGGTTCCAGGGCTCAGACTGGAACCTCAGACTGGTGAGGCAAAGTGTGCATGGTTCCCACCGCCTTGCACTGTCTGGCCTCCAGGTTGGGTGTCCAGCAGCTGCGGCTGGTGCGGGGTCCCCACCGAGTTCTGCTGTCGGTCCAGGAACTCACCTTCATCCATCGGCCCCCTATCAGCAGGGTGGGTAGGGCACGGCTGGGCAGGGGTGGGGGCTGGACTGGGTGCACAGCTTTTGACCATGCCTGCCCTCCCCCAGAGGCTGCATGTGGACAATACCAGCGAATCGAGAAGTGTGGCTGATGATGGGAGCCTCAGGTCGGTGGCCCAGGGGTCAGCGAGGAGCCTGCCAGCACCCCAGGAGCCCACAAATGTGGCTTTGTATCAGGTGAAGACCCCTTACCCTTGTGCCCAAGCCTGGGGAGCTGTAGTCAGTTTGGGAGAAGCTGAGGGTATCTACAGCTTCTCAGGCCTCTGTTTACGCCACTTCTGTTACAGGATATGAAACTAAGGCACAGAGAGGGATGGTTTGACTTTCCTGGGTCACACAGTTGATGACAGGGTTAGAAGTAGGAACCTAACCTAACGTCCAGCTCGTAGTCTAGAGTGGTTTAAATCTTGTATTGGGAAGTAACCAGTTCCTGGTCAGTTGGCCCTGGGCACAGCCAGCCAGGGTTCACCCCAGGGTCTCCCTCAGATGTGAGGCCAACTTAATCTCACTTCCCCCTGCCCACCTAGGCAAGAGTCAGTGAGACCTCGGATCCCTAAGGCCCTGATATATGGGGGCAACATTCAGGCAAGGACAGTGTCTGGGCAGATCAAGGCCATCAGCTGACAGGGCCCAGTAGGTCAGAGGTCAGTCAAGCCAGATGGTATGGTTGCTGAGGACATGCCAACAACAGGTCTGACAGACCCACCAGGTCCCCCATGCTCCCACAGTTGACAAGCAGGCTGATGGCTTCTACAGGAAGCAACATGAGACCTTGGGCCTTCTTTCCTTGCTTTCTCCTCTGGAGAAGACTGACTTTTCCTTGCCTTCTGATAGAAGCTTTAATGATGGACAAAACATGATTTATCAGCTTTTCTGAGTTAGCTGACAGACTCGGGTGAGGTGGCGGCTGCTGCTGCATGCATTCTGCTGAGTTGGTTCCGACTCATAGTGACCCTGTCTGTATAGGGTTTCTGAGGGACTCCTGATGTGACGCTGTACAATTAGCACTGGACTGAGAACCACAAGGTCGGTGGCTCAAACCCACCAGCTACTCCTTGGAAACCCTATACAGGGTCGCTATGAGCCGGAACTGACTCAAAGGCACTTACCAAAACAACAAACCTTTATGGGAGCAGAAAGCCTCACATTTCTCCTGAGGAGTGGCTGATGGATTCGAACTGCTGACCTTGTGATTAGCAGTCCAATGTGTAACCCACTAAGCTACCAGGATTGAGGTAGAGAAGGCAAAAACCTTCAATGAAGAAGGGAGAAAGAACTACGGTCAGGACCAGGAGAGGTGAGGACAGAATTCTGTTGAGATCTCCACCCCCACTTCCCACCCTAGCCCACTTCTGCCCTCCCTTCTTTCCTTCCATAGAGTCCCTGGGTCCCAGAGGGCCCTGTCCCCACACACTTCACAGAGTTTGTTTATCATCGTGTCTGTGGCCTGCAGGTGAAGCTGGCCCTGGGGAAGGGAGCTAACGTGCTTTCTACCCACCACCTCTCTGTGTCCTTGCCTTGCTTTACAGAATTGGAAAATGAGGCTCAGGGAACTGAACTCACCTGCTCAAGTCCACTGAGCTGGACAGTAGTGGAGTTAGGACTGGTTCTGCCTGGATTGTAGCAAAAGTCGAACTACTGTTTCTGCTAACCACACTACCCAGTTTGGGCACACAGAAAGGGGTGTAACTGGGGCTGTTATTACCACCCTCATTTATAGGGAAGAGACCCCTGGGTAACACAAGCCACTAATATACTCTACTGCTAACAGAAAGGTTGGAGGTACAAGTTCACTCAAAGGTACCTTGGAAGAAATCTATTCCCAAAAAGGAGTCATTGATCTACTCTGACACCCATAGGGTAGTTGTGATTTGGAGTTGATTTCATAGTGACTATTTGTTTTTCTTGTGTGTTTTTTTGTTGTCAAGGTTGAGGGAATTTCCCAAGTTCACACAGCTGGGAAATTGCAGCAGTAAGCACTTGCTGTTCTTTCTTGAACAGGGAGATTGGGTTTGGCTGAAGAAGTTTGAAGCCGGCACAGTCCTGGAGCTACGACCAAGTTCCCTTAGCCTCTTGAGAAAGGTAGAGCTGCCAAAGACACAGAGGGTAGAATGGGATTGTGGGGTAGGGTTCCTGCTTAATGAGGAAGCTTCTGCCCTCAAAAGGAAGTCATTCCTATCACCAGGGTTGCCACCCCATTCTCAGCACCTCCGTCACAATTGTACACCACACTGCCACCATTGTACATCAGCATTCTACTGCACACGCCGCCCCATCAGCATGCTTGTCACCATCATCACTGGGGGCACAACCACCTTCATCAGAATAGCCAACACCATCAAATGACTTCATCCTCCAGCCTTCATTCATCTGCCCATCCATCCATTTATTCACTAAGTACTCACTGAGTACCTCCTGTGTACCAAGCAGTGTTCTGGCTATGGGGATGTTCCTGCCCTCAGGTAACTTACAGTCACTTGTCATCACTAACTATAGAAGTACTTTCACCTTCCAGACTGTCACCATCCTGTGAGGCTCTGTGGGTTGGAAGACAGAGCCTAGGATTTGGAGTCAAGAAGACCCCAGGTGGAATCTTGCCTCTGTGGACACTTAGCTTCTCTATAAAATGGAGCTATGAGATCCACCCCCAGGGGAATTGTGAGGGCTAGAGAGAATATGTGGAATAGCCTAAAATGATCCCTGGAAAGATGTGGTGGCTTTGATTAGTATTTCCAGTATCACCACCATCTGAAATCAAGTTTTAAAAGATCAAGTTAGGCATTTCCCAGTGGGTATCCTGCAACCAAAGTGAGTAGACAATTCTCAAATAATTTTGGAAACTGTTGCATTAACCACAAGATCTCTTAGGATCTTTAATATGCTGTTCTCATTATCTATGACTTTGAAACAACTTACCCCAAAATGTAGTGCTTAAAAACAACAATCTGTCTCTTCGTAACTTAACAGTTTTGTGGTCCAGGCATTTGAGTAAGGCTCACCTGGGCAATTCACTTCCACATGTGTCAGGTGGGGATAACTCAGTGGCAATAAGCTGGTAAATGAGCTGGTCTACTCTAGAACAGCCACTGCCTGTTTTGTAAATAAAATTGTATTGGCATACAGCCATATCATTCATTTGTGTATGGTCTATGGCTGCTTTTTCACTGCAACCACAGAGGTCACTATTTGTAATAGAGACTATGGCCCACTAAACCAAAAGTATTTACTATCTGGACCCTTACAAAAAAGACCACCACCTCCTGGTCCAAAGGGTCTAAGATGGCTTCACTGCGCCTTGGCAGGGAGGCTGGAAGACTGGACTTAGTTGGACCTGTCTTCCCTTTCTATGTCATCTCAGGGTCTCTCCACAAGGTATCTTCAACAGGGTAGTCTCAGGGTAGAAGGACTTCTTACTTAGTGGTTCAGGGCTCCAATGGAGAAAGTTCTGAGTGACAAGAAATGGAAGCTGCCAGTCTCTAAGACCCAGACCCATTTCTACCATGCTTTACTGGTCACAGCAGTCACAGAGCCCGCTTGGATCTAAGGGGAGGACACAGAGGTCACCCCTCTAGATAGCAGTAGTATCAAGGAATTTGAGGCTATCCTTAACTCACCATGTATGCTAATTTTCTGGAGAATCCCATAGGAGGAAAAAGTATGCAGATTTCCCCATTGATGTCCCTGAACTGTTTTTATTAGGAGAATGGTTCCAGATCAGCAAATGCTAGTCTAACTGGGTTTGAGATTTCTAACTTGCTGGACAGGAGTCCCTGGGTAGATCTAATGATTAAGCTGAAAGGTTGGTGGTTCAAACCTACTAGAGCTGTCTCTGAAGACAGGCAAGGCCATCTGTTTCCTTGGAAACCCTCTGGAGTAGTTTTACTTTGCACACACGAGTCAGAGTCGATGTGATGGCAACTGATAACAATTTTGTTGGACAGCCATCAGGGAGGCTACTCTCTGCTTGTGTTTAATCCTTCTGCTCCTAACCCTCCCCAATCCCTGAATCTTGGGGTAGAGAATTGGTATGGCTTTTAGGTCCATGGTGTCACTTAGATTGGGAAACTGGGTTAGATCCCTGTTCTCTAGTTATCACAGCTCACTCATTCATCCTTAATGTTTCACTCATTCATTAATTCATTCAGTCATTTACTCACCCATCCATCAAATGATTCGTGATGCTCCTCTGGGCTCGGCCTTGTGCTGACTGCTAAGGACTAAGGGCTTAGACATGTGCTACACCTGGTCTAGTCTCAGAAACCTCTTGCCTCTGCAGATGCGGGAGCTGCAGCATGAGAATGTCACCACCTGCCTGGGCTTCTTCATGGCCCCAGGGCTCAGTGCTCTGGTGATGGAACACTGCTCCCGGGGCAGCCTGGAGGACCTGTTGCGGAATGAGGCCCTGCAGCTGGACTGGACTTTCAAGGCCTCCCTGCTGCTGGATTTGATCCGAGTGAGGTCCCTTGAGTGCTGTGGGGTTCAGAGGCAGGGCATGGAGACGAGAGATGTTCTGATTTCTCAGGACTCTTTCCTCAGCTTTTCTTTACTTGATCTCTTTCCACTTGATGAGAAAGGTCTAAGTACTGTGGCAAAGGGTGAGGTGGGGGTGGTGTCCAGGGTCCCTCTAACTCATCACAGGCCTAATGGACCCTTATGTGTCCACCTCAGGGTGTGCGGTATCTGCACCATCGACATTTCTCTCATGGCCGCCTCAAGTCCCGCAATTGTGTGGTGGACGGACGCTTTGTGCTGAAGGTCACTGACCATGGCTATGCAGAGCTCCTGGATGCTCAGCGGGCTCCCTGCCCACAGCCCACCCCAGAAGGTCAGCTCAGAGTGGGCAGGGGGCTGCTAGTAGATCTTGAGACCTCTTCTTTAGTCAGGTGCTAGGGCATTACTGAAAAGGCTGGGGCAGAGTAGGGAGAGCGCCCGCCCTCAGCACTTCCTGTGGTGTGGTTGCATTTCTTCTCTGAGCCTCGGGTGTGAAATGAAAATGCAGGCACCTCCTATGGGTCTGAACTGACTCGATGGCATTTAACAACGACAGTAATAGGTGTGGTGCTATGGGATCAGCACTGGACTGCTAACCTCAAGGTCGGCGGTTCAAGCTCACCAGCTGCTCCTCGAAGACCCTATACAGGGTCTCTGTGAGTCGGAACTGACTCAACAGCTCTTAACGACATCAGCACACTCTCTCAGGGTTGCAGGGAGAGGGTAACAGTCAACATGTGCAAAACTTTGACCTTTGGTGCACCTCTGTCCTGTGACTGCAGAGCTACTGTGGACAGCTCCGGAACTGCTGCGGGTGCCCGGGGGAGCCAGGCAGGGCACTCTCAAAGGTGATACCTTCAGCATCGGCATCATTCTGCAGGAGGTGCTGACTCGAGGCGCCCCCTACTGTTCCTCAGGCCTTTCAGCAGAAGGTACAGTATCCTTCTCCCCTTTCTCTGGTCTGCCCCTGGCTGGAGCCTTCACCTAGCTGGATGCCCTGTTGCTATTAGGAACTGGACTTGGGAATAACTCCAACCCCAGCATGGATTTCATGTCCATACGGACCACAATTCTACCCCAACTCCATCATTTGCTTACTATGAGACCTTATACAAGTCATTCACCCTCTCTGAGCCTGTGCTTTCCCATCTCTGAAATGGGGATCCAATACACACTTGCCAGACCCCCAGCTGTATGACGGATGGTATTTGGGGGCTGGGTTCCTGACTCAGGTGGGGTTCCTTCAAGAACATCTCTGCCCCAGTACTTTTGGGTGTACAGGACAATCATTGACACCTTCCCCAGGGCCACCTGGCCTGCAGACAATTTCTCTCTTCTGGTCTTAGTGGCAGGCTCAGCTTTAGAAAGATTTCTGCCTTTCTGTGTTCTCTGTCAGAAGTTTCTAGAAAGGGAGAAACCAGGGCATTCTTCCAGATGTCTCCCTTCTGCCTCTGGCAGGCCAAGCCACCTCCCCTACAGATTCCCTGGCTTCTCAGTCTGCAGTGTGGGACAAGGGCAAAGCTGAGCCCATCAACCCCTTGCCACCCCCGATGGAATCTCTTTCGCTTATGAGGAGGCTCAGTCTGTTTTCTCTCTCCCCTGGAGCACTGCTCAGTGAATAATGAGTATTCCAGGCCCTAGATTTATGAAGTGGAATAGTGGGAAGGCAGGGGGCTTTACCAGGGCCATGTGTCCAACACTCCTCACATGCTGTTCCTCCCCTCACCTGCCCGCTGAGAAATGGATAGGGTCTGTAAGCCATGTGGCCAGTGCAAGGCCCTCCAGCTGGGGCTCCACCAGGCTTTGGGTGTAGGCAGGCATGTAGCAAAGGGTCGAGAGTGCCCAAAGCAACCTCAAAGTTGTGTTTCCCACCGACCCTTTCAAGATGAATAAACCCACTGCTGGCCAGTCGGTTCCAACTCATAGTGACCCTACAGGCAGAGTACAACTGTTCCCTAGGGTTTCTGAACGTGTAAATCTCAGAAACAAACTGCCTCATCTTTTACCTGCAGAGCAGGTGGTAGGTTTGAACAACTGATCTTTCTGTTAGCAGCCATCATTTAACCCGCTGTACCACCAAGCCTCCTTTTCAAGATGAATAGGCATTGACAGCGGTGGTGAGTCAGAAGAACCGCCTTTCCTGCTCTTCTCTGGCTGCCTCAGTCGGATTTCATATTTGTGGCTCCACAAATATTATTCCATGCCTCTCTCTGCTTGTGTCCCCTTGGACTATCTTCCTCTCAGGGTAGTTGTCAAGATTTAGAGCCCCTTATGTCCACCCTCTCTCACCTCTGGCCTCTAGATTGGCACAAGGTCAGTGGTTCAAACTCACTAGCCGCTCTTTGTAAACCCTATATAGGGTCGCTATGAGTCTGACTCGACGGGCACTTCACAACAACAATGGGGATTCCAAGCTCTCTCCTGATTCTCCCACTTGGAGGCAGAGCCTGCTTGCTCTTAGAAATAACAGTGGTTTAAGATCCTGTATGAAGATGGAGGCACAGGCTAAGCGCTCAGCTGCCAACTGAAAGGTTGACGGTTTGAACCCACAAGTTGCCCTACAGGAGAAAGATGTGGCAATCTGTTTCCGGAAAGATTGTTGTTGTTTGTAAGTGCCATTGAGTCGGTTCTGACTCATAACAACCCTGTACAGGGTTTCCGAGGAGTGACTGGTAGGTTTGAACCACCAACCTTGCAAGCTAACAGTTCAGTGCTTATCCTACAGCACCATGCCAGGACTTCCCATAAAGATGATAGCCTAGGAAACTCTATGGGGCAGTTCTACTCTGACTTGATGGCAGTGGATTTTGTGTGTGTGTGTGTGTGTGTATGTGAATGGTAATTTGCAGTTTCCTAATCATTTTCATGCATTCTATTCTATTGGAGCCTGTGACAGCCATATGAGATGGACAATTGTACTCCTCCCAACCCCTTAATTTTTGAATTATTATTATTGTCAATTGGGTGAAGGTTTACAGAGCAGATCCGTTTTGCATTTAGCAGTTGATACACATTTTTTAGAGATGAGCTGAGGGAGGCTCAGCGAGGGGAAGGGGCTTCTTAGCAAGGAAGCAGTGGATTTAGGATTTGAGCTGAAGTCTTCTGATCCAAGCACAGTGTTCTTGCCCAAAGAAACCTCTTGAAGTCATCCTTGGAAGGGCCTCCTGGAGCCCCGCCAGGCCCCACGGAGCTGGATCTTAGGCCTCCTCCATCACAGTGCCTCATTAGTCACCATGATGCATGGGGTGTGGACAGCGAACGGGGCAGTGCGAGCTACACGAGGCTTGGCCTGGTCTGGGGCAGTGATTCCCAGCATGTGCACTTGGGATGGCTCCACTGGAACGTCAAAAAAGGTTGAAGCCTCACGTGCTGCTATTTGAGTTTTATTTGAGTTTTAATATCCGCTGACTGAGAAAATACCCAGTGACAAAATCTGCTCTGAAATCAGCAATATTTTGGAATGGATTAGTATTTTATTCGTCACACCACTATCCACATACTTCTGAAAAATAGTTGTCCATGTGTGCTGTATGCATTATTGGTTCCATCTGTACACACAGCTGCCCAGAACCGTGACTTGGAGGCCTCAGGGCCCGAGGCTTGCAGATTGGGAGCCTCTGGGAAAAGGAAATCATGAAGACCAGGCAGGGGATCTGGCCTAGTCCTAACCCAGAGACAAACCAATTGCTGTTGGGTCACTTCTGACTCATGGTGACCCCATGTGTTGCAGAGTAGAACTGCACTCCTTAGGGATTTCAATGGTTGTGATGTTTTGGGAATGGATTGACAACACTTTCTTCTGAGAAACTTCTGGGTGGATTCAAACAGCCAACCTTTTGCCACACGGGGACTGTAGCATCTGGTAAAGCTGGGTGACCAGGGGTGATTCACTTTAACCCTAAGAGCTTCAGTGTTCTGAAACTCTACTACCTACTACCATCTGGTCAATTTTGACTCACAGAGCCCCTATGTGGAGTGCTGGTGTGGTGCTGGGCTGCAAGGTCTGTTTGAACTGCAAAGTCGGCTGTTCAAGCTCACCAGCCACTCCTTGGAAACCCTATACAGGGTCTCTATGGGTCAGAACCAACTCTATAGCACTTAACAACAACAACAAGCCCCTATATAGGGTTTCCAATACTTAACCCACAGTGCCTAGGAGGCCAACAAAGGAATAGGAAGGGAACTAAAATTCCAGAAAGAAATTTCTATTCACTGACCCCAAGCGCTTCTACCTCTTCACCCATGATCCTTCTCCACACCCTAATTCCCTCCCTAGAGGAGATTAACAAGTTACTCTCGTAGCTACTCTCTAAGGTATACAGTATTATCATGTATATGTTATAGATGAGGAAACTGGAGCTCAGGGAGGGGAAATAACTTGTACAAAATATAAGTGCATAATCTAGCAGTCCAATCTTCATCTGGCTGACCCCAATGCCTGAGTTTGGTCTTCTTTTCTTCCCAGAGCTCTATTGAATCTCTTGGCTCTCCCAGGCTTCCCAACTTTCTAAGGTAGAGGTTGTTTCCATCATTTGTTAGGTGGGGAAACTGAGGCATGGAGTGATGAGAAGAGGAGGAGCCAGAACTAGAAGATTGGTCAGTCTGATCTTGGTTTAGTCTGGTGGTCTTTGCCATACAGAGTGGGCACAGGAAAGTCTATGGAAGGAGTTGTCTTTGAGAAATAATGATGATGATAATACATAAACAGTACCCCATCACACTTGGAGAAAGCTGACAGAAGGTCTCTAGGTGGCAGGGCTGTTGGAAAGAGCTACAGTGTCAAGGCTACAGGCACATTGGTGGGTATCCTCGGAACTGAGCAGCAGCTTGTGCAAGGCCTGGGTGAGGACAAACCTACTAGGCATTGGGTGCCTCCCATTCCTCATCTCCCGCCTCAGCATCCCCTTGACAGGAAGCAGAGTTTATTCAAGTTATTTCACAGATAGGGAGACAGGCTCAGAGAGGTCACTGTCTGGCCTACCATCTCATACAGAAGTGGAGACAGATCCAGAACTCAAAGCCAGCTCTGTGACTCATCCCCAGACCACACCATGAGGTGGGTCCAAGGAAAGCAGAAGCTCAACGGCTACCCTGGGTCCACTGACCAGTCACACCCTGGGCACAGAACAGAGGGGCCGAGGAGTGTCCACCCTATCAACCTTTCCTGTCCTTCCTCCCATGAGCCCTCCTGATGCCCTCTGACCTACCACCCACACTACTGCTTGTTATAGAAATCATCAGGAAGGTGTTATCTCCTCCTCCCCTGTGCCGGCCTCTGGTGTCCCCCGACCATGGCCCCCTTGAGTGCATCCAGCTGATGGAGCAGTGCTGGGAGGAGGCTCCGGAGAGCAGACCCAGCCTGGACCAGATCTATAGCCAGGTTGGTACTCTCCAGAGGAGCTGGAGTGCTCACAAAAAGGGTGGTCATGTTATGAATGGGAACCCCACACTTTCCCTGGGACTGAGAAGCACTATGTATATGTATAGTTAAAGGAGCACTAGGTTAGCACCATGACCAGAGGGGGCCTGAGGACAGGGCTCTCTCTCTACCTTCTGAGGAAAGCCTGCTCAGAGCCACAGTTTCAGGGATGTTTGCTGAGAGCCTCCTGAGAGCCTGGCCCTATGCTAAGTGCTGCGTTTGCCTTACTGAGTTCTCAGGTAAACCCAGTGAAGCAGCATGGTTAGTATCTAGGCTTTATAAGAGGAAACAGAAGCACAGAGGGGGAAGAAGCCTGCCCAAGGTAACTGAGGTAGTGAAAATCTGAAATCTGGATCTAGACTCTGTCTGTCTGCAAGGCTAGTGCTATGAGTCCCCCTCCTGTAATGGGCCTCCTGGCACTGGAGTTGAGAGACTATTGTACTGTGAAGACGGCGCTGGTCCCCTGCCTCCCTGAGTGGAAGCTGGGGCGGGGAGGGGAGGTACAGTGGGAGACATGAGGCAAGTCTGTACAAGTGTGCAGGGTGGTGGTAGAGTGTGTAGGCCTGGCTGAGTTGGCTAATGGCTCTCCCAGGGCCAACCCATGAAGCCTGAGGTGATATCTTTGTGCTTTCTCTCCTGACCTCCACTCCCTGGCCACCATGGGAAAGTTGCCAAGGAAAGGCTCAATGAACGAGAGGGGGATACAGATAGGTGGTGAGAGAGCAGGAGGCAGGAAGGCAGACAGAGGCGGATCCACAGGTGTCTTTTGAAAAGCCTTCCTACATCCCCCCTCTTCCTACATCATCTGTCCACCGTGGCTCTGAATTGGGGCTGGTGTCACTCCATCATGCCATGGATGAGAAATTTGCCCCTGAATAAATGAGCTCTGGATTGGCACCATGAGGAGAGGTTGCAGAGCTAGGGTTTGCAACCCGTTCCTTTTTAAAAATAATTTGTTGCTGTTGTTGAAAATATAGACTGCAGAATTTACACCAGTTTAAGAATTTCTACCTGTACCATTCAGTGATATTGATTACATGCTTCCAAATGTTACAACTCTTCTCACCCTCCTTCCCCCTAATTGCCTCTTCCCATTAGCATAACTCACAGCCTGCCTAAGCTTCCGTCTAACCTTTCAAGTTGTTGTCAATTTGAACCCATTGCCAACTGCTCCTTGGAAACCCTACACAGGGTCTCTACGAGTCAGAATCAACTTGACAGCACTTAACAGCAACAATAGATAGTTACAATAATTTAACTGTTTACTGTGACTCCGTATGATAAGCACTGGACTGGGAGCCACTAGGTCAGTGATTCGAGCCCCACTCTGCACTCTGAGGGAGAATAAGACTTTCTGAGATTTAAAGCTTCAGAAACCCTCTACAGGGTGGCTATGAGTTAGAATCCACTTGATGACATTTAACAACATTGACAATAGATGGTTCTTTCAGAGCACAATGTTTAAAACAGACATTCTTTATCAATGAAGTTAAACTGTTGTTTGACAACGAGTTTTTAAAACATCAGCCTGGAATTTTTCCAAGGGACAGATATTGCCAATGGCCAGAGAGGTGGAGGAAGAGGGTCTTGTACCAAGTGAGGATCCCCTGAGGGAAAGACCCCTAGTGGCTTAGTGGCAAATAAGGCTAAGTGGGTGCAAGACATGTTCAGCAGTTAGTAAGTGCCATTAAGTCAGTTCTGTCTCATAGCGATCCTGTGTAGGGTTTCTGAGGCTTTAAATCTTTCGTGGAGCAGAAAGCCTCATCTTTCTTCCAGGGGGTGGCTGATGGACTTGAACCACTGACCTTGTGGTTTGCAGTCCAGTGCTTATCATATAGAGCCATATATATGTATGCAAGTATAGCCAATCTATTCCATCCATCCATCCATCCACCTATCTATCCGTCTATCTATCTGAAAAACAAAGAAGGCCTACTTCAAAGTGTTATGAAGATCCTCTATAGTCTTCTCTCGCTGCCAACTCCACACAGCAATGGCCCACCCTCCTCACTGCCACCTGTGTTTCTCACTAATTAGAGCTGTCAGCCCCCTGTCTATTTACTCATCTGCTCACAGCATACCTCAGCTCCCCCAGACAGGAACTATGTCTGCTTCACTCCTACCGCCCCAGACCTCAGCCCAGGCCCTGGGATGCTGATTTTCATGAACTCACTGGGATTTTTGTTCCATTTCCAGTTCAAAAGCATCAACCAAGGCAAGAAAACTAGTGTTGCTGACTCTATGTTGCGAATGCTGGAGAAGTATTCACAGAATTTGGAGGACCTGGTCCAGGAGCGGACTGAGGAGCTGGAGCTGGAGAGACAGAAGACAGAAAGACTGCTTTCTCAGATGCTCCCTCTGTGAGTGGCCCTTGGCACTTGATGTGACAAGCCTCAGCTCTGAGCATGGGACCTGGAATATAGCAGGTGCTCAGAAATCTGGGCTCTATTAATTCATTCAGTTCATTCACTGCTTAATTATACGAGGTGTTTTTATAGCGTCCTTATCACGAATGAGGAGTCCTGAGAGTATAAAATGGTTAAGTCTCATCAGCTAATCAAAAGGTTGGTGGTTTGCTACTCCCATTAAAAACTATAGCCAGCAAAACTTATAGGACAGTTCTACTCTGTCCCATGGGGTTGCTGTCAGTCAAAATGGACTTGATGGCACCCAATAACAACTATCACATACAGGCACTATACTAGGCACATGAACGATAAGTTTCTGCTATCTCATGGCCTTGGGAGCAAGGAGAGGTCTCCTATCTTACTCAAGAGAAAGTAATGTCAAGAGATAGAGGCCTTGGGTGGCATAAATTGTTAAGCACTTGACTACTAGCTGAAAAGTTGGCAGTTTGAATACACTCAAAGGCACTATAGAAGACAAGTTTGGTGACCTGCTTCCAAATGGTCACAACCTATGGAGTAGTTCTACTTTGCATACATAAGGTCATGATGAGTTGGAAGTCACTCAACAACAACAACCAACAACATTGTCCAGAAAGGAACAGGTGTTTGTTTGAGAGCAATCAGCACACCAGCACACCTGTCCCAGATCTCCTGATGCCCAACCCAGGATTTTCCACAAAATACCTCTTTCCTTGCCTCCAAACTGTCAAAAAGAGTTCCCTCCATCTTGTGACTCTGACCCCTCCTGTCCCTTCAGGTCTGTGGCCGAAGCTCTGAAAATGGGGGTGACCGTGGAGCCAGAATACTTTGACCAGGTTACCATATACTTCAGTGACATTGTGGGTTTCACCACAATCTCAGCCCTGAGTGAGCCCATGGAGGTGGTGGGCTTGCTCAACGACCTCTACACATTGTTCGATGCTGTCCTGGGTAGCCATGACGTATATAAGGTGAGGCTACTAAGAGGTTGACATTCCTACCCACTGATTCTTGGCATTTCCATTTATTTATGTATGCGTTTGTATCTGTTAGCTATTGCTGTGTAACAAACAATACCCAAATCCAATGATTGAAAACAGTAAGCATTTGTTATTGCTCGTAAGCCTATGGGTCCATTGGAAAGTTCTGGACCCACTAAAGGATCTGTGGTCAGCGATGGGTGAGGTGGACTGTGCTACTGATCTTGGTCAGCCTCTCTTCTTTCTGTGGACTCAGATCTTTGGAGTCTTGGCTGGGACAACTCAGCCTTGGTTCACTGGTCTCTCATTCTCTAAAGCTGGGATGGTTTACACAGTGGTGGTAGTGTTCTGAAAGAGGAGAAGCACAGAAACTTCCTGAGATTTAAGCTGGGACTGGCCACTGTGCCGATTCTGATGCATTCTATTAGTCAAAGCAAGTTGTAAGGCCAGACCAGATTCAAGGGATGGAAGGGGCTACAGGAGAGTCTGGGCCAATTTTGCAATTAATTGACCACAGTGTTACTTTGTCCTTTGTCATTCTGTGCTTATGTTCATCTCTCCATTCCTTTGAAAAGCTTTTAGGGACTGGCTTTTCTGTGCCAGATCCTGTGCTGGGCAAGGGCTGCCTTAAGGAGCTCTCAGTCCTATAGCTAAAGGGTAACAACAGGCCACAGTAAGAGTGATAACCAAAAGGGAAGCTGACGGATGGGTTGGGGTGGCTCGGCATGAAGTGGGCCAGTGGGGAGGACAGGTAGAGACACTGGAGAGGGCAGCAGGGGTCTACATAGAGCTACCAAGACCATCTGTGATCTAGGCTCTGCATACCTCTCAATCCTGGCCCCCAGCTTTTTGTGACTCTGGACAAATGAGTCCTTTCTCTGGGTCTCTGTTTCCCCATCTGTAAAGCAGGAATAATGCCCCCAGTTTTGGTGGGCTCACAGAATACTAGGAAGGTTCCAGCCCCCAGGTGGAGTGTTGTGAGGTAGTGAGGGGGAATAGCCTCCTGCCCTCTACTCCTCAGCTCTACCCTCTGCTATGGGGGCTTTCCCCATCCTGACCCGGCCCTTTGTTCTGATCCAGAGCTGAGACCTTTGTTCTGATCCAGAGCTGAGACCATTGGCCTTAGCCTTTGTTTGTGACCCACCAGTTCCCTCCCAACCACAGCCCTTCAGGGAGTCAAGCACTGGTGAGCATTGGAGCCGAGGGCCACAGCCAGGATGGAAAAGCTGCCCGGCAGGAAGTTTCAGAGGAGAGAGAGCTAACACTATGAGATGTCAAGCACTCTGCTGACTGCATTATTATCCTGACAACAAGTGCCAACACTTACTGAATACTAGAAGTTGACCCAAGCGCTTTATATGCACTAACTTATTCAATCATTGTAATAGTCTATGATGTAGTAAGGTGACCTCTAATGTATAGATGAGAAAACTGAGACGATAGAGCCCTAGTAACTTGTCTAATGACATATTCTCAGTGAGCTGTGGACCTTAGATTTGACTCTGGGTATTCTGAGCCCCCAACATCCCAAGGATGTGTTTGGGATCCTGTAACCCTACCCGGCCTGTGGTTCCAGGGCGTTGTCTCTAGTGCTAGCTGAGCCTCTCCATCTTGCCTCCAGAGCTGTCCTGGCCCCATGGGCCCCCGGAAAAGATTTCTCATCTTGTCTTGCTGAGCCCCACAGCTTTGATCTGCTCCTGAGTCAGCCCGGCCTTGTCTCTTTCTCCCCTGCTAATCTTTTCTCACACATGTGTCCCTCCCAGCTCTGAATCACACCTTCTGATGTGCTCTGAACTCTGGCCAAGAGGTCTGCATCTTTCTGGCAGAGTGAAATGAAAGAAAACAGGCCCGCACACCCCTCCAGATGTGGGCAAACAGGAGGCCTGCTCCTCAGGATGTGTGAGCGAGCCTCTCATCACTCATTCTGGCCAGCCGCCTCGGTTTCCCCTCCAGCCCCAGTGGGATCTGGTTACTGCTCTTTAATCCAGTCTGGGTTTGGGAGGCAGCCAGGCAATCATTTCCTGGTTTTGCAGGGGTCTGCAAATCCCTCCCAGCTCTCGCTGAAGAAGTACTTTTATGGACATAACTCTAGAGCTGAGATCCTGGGGGTTGTGGGAGAGGAGAGGACAACCCAGCCTGCAGTTCTGCCCAGGCCCATCTGCTGTGTGACCCCAGGCAACTCACTTTGCCTCTCTGAGCCTTGGGTTCCTTATTTATAAAACAAAGATAAAAGGTGCCTACTGCTTAGGATTTTTCTGAAGATTAAGTGATTTGAGAGAATATGTTGTCGTTCATTCATTCACCAACATCATGTTGACCACCTGCCATGTGCCAAGGCCTGAGGTCTTCCCCTAAAACACAGTAGGGGAGAAGTGCCGGCATTAGGGATTTCCAAAGGGTATCTCATTTCACTTTTTCAAGACCCCTCAGAGGGCTGCATCATTAACTACAGACTCTGAGAGGATAAGTGACTGGCCCAAGGTCATACAGGCAGGCAGTGGTGAAGTAAGAATTCACATCTGTGTTTGCTCTCACCACTCCTCTAGCTGCATCCTCAGTATGCACCTGGAACCATGCCTGTGTCCAAGCAGCCACGGCCCCTCTTGTGGCAGAGAATCCACTGTGACAGGAGGACTCTAGAAAACCCCTAGAGAGCAGAGCCTGTGTCCTGGGCACCTTTCTGTCTTTGAGGGACTTAGGGTGATGATTAATGATGTCACAATCTCCCTTCCTGTTAGGAGCCAACACAGCCAAAGTCTAGGTGAAGGATTAGATGTCAGCGTGGGCAGCGTGCAGAAAGTGTATTAGCTGAATGGCCACCATGGACCTTTCTACTACTCCCCTCCCCACTTAATCTGGTCCTTGGGGCACCCATCTGAGACAGAGCTGGGTCCCTGAATCACAGCTGCACACTTGCCTGGCTGATAGTGGGGCCAGACAACAGCAGTTCTCCAGAGCTGCTTCCAAAAGGCAAGCCCAGGTCCTAATGCACACATGCTGACCACGTGCGGGGCCACTAGCAGAGCAAAAGCTCCACGTGGCAGGCAAATACACTCTAAAAGAGAAAGAGCCAAGCCACATACATCACAGGACTCTGGAGCTGGACTGACCAAGTTCAAATCCACTTACTAACTGTGCTGTGTGGCCTTGGGAAGTGACTTAACCTCTCTGACCAGTTCTCACCTGCAAAATGGCAATGATAGTAGTACTTGCCTCACAGAAGTCTTGTGATGATTTCGTGAACTAATACCCTTAAGGGTTTGGAAGGGTGTCTGGCACCTAGTAGTTTCAAATCTCACTGGTTAGATAAGGCACCTTTCTCTTGTGTGGAAAAGTGGGAGCAAGGAGAAGCAGAGGTCTTTCCTATTTTTCCCTCCAGGGGCATGGAATGGAAGGTTTCTCTTGTCTGTGGACATTTCCACAGTGGGGGTAACCCAGGCCTCCACCCCATCACAGGTGGCAGGAGGAAGATGGAGGTCACCCTCCTGAGGAGGAACATCGTCTCCTGATCAGCTGGTGACTGGGAAAAGTCTTAGGGATCTAGTGAGAGCTTGACAGATGGAGGGGATGGGTCCTATTCCAACAGAGCCTGGGGCAGAGGGACAACTTGGTGGTGGCCTGGAAGGAGCCAGTACTGAGTGTTTCTGCGGTGACTAGGGAGTAGAAAGGGCTCCAGTTGGGCTGAAGTGTGGTGAATAAGTCAGGAAATGCTGCACATCATGGAGGCCCTGGGGTATTGTAAGTCATTGGCCAGAGGGAACAAATTTCAGCATCTGAGCAGGATTTTAATGTGATTAGGAGAGATCACTTCCTGGAGGTGGGTAGAGGATAGTGTAGGTGAGGGAGAGATTGTGAGGTGTAGGCAGTGAATGTTGTGTGAGGGAGATTTATTGAATTACAGCCCTCTCGGTGGGCAGGGGAAAGCACTCTTGTTATTGTCTGCCAGGTGCTAAAGGAAAGAAATAGCCGCCAGAGGGAAAGGCTTTGCTCTCCTGGTGTGGTGTGGTGTGGTGTGGTGTGGTGTGGTGTGGTGTGGTGTGGTGTGGTGTGGTGTGGTGGTGGTGGGGTGGATACAACTATAGGAGGGGTAGTGCTTTATAGACTGGAGAAGAAAAGGCTAGGGCAGAGTCACCGTCTTTACCTTGGCTGGACTGATTTGTAGCAGGTGAGAAGGCTGAAAGGGGGCCAGGAACAGAGAAGGTACTTAGGAAAGGTTTGTAGATTGAGTCCAGGAGGCAGAACTGGAACCAGCAAGTGAAAATCAGATTTCAGTTCAACTCAACTTTGAAATGAGAGTTGTCTAAAGCGAGAAGCAGCCCCCCTCAAGAAGGAGGGACCTTCCTATCAAAGGGGGGTGAGCATGTCAGGACAGCCACAGGGGGTGTGTGGCCTTTAAAGTCCCTTCCAATTCTGAAAGTCTGGGATTCTATCTTCTCTAAGTCCACTAGCCAAGGAAATAATGATAAATGAATGATAATGATGATGATAAAGACGACAGCCTCGAGTTACTGAGCGTTAATGGTGCACTTGGGTCTTTAAATGCTTATGTCTAATATTCAACCTGTGTAACAGGAAATTGAGGCTTACACAGGTGAAGTGATCTGCCCAAGGTCAATGGCAAAGCCAGGTTTTGAACCCACATCTAATTCCAAACCCTACATTATTTCTAGTACACCTTGAAGGACCAATGGTGTTTGGTAAATGGCAAGTATCTTACTCTTCAGATGAAGCCCTGGTCTGTCTCTGTGAGAAACCCAGGTTGCCTGGGGTGGGGTGGGGCCAGAGGAGATAAGAATGACCATGGTCATCTGCAGTGCAGACAAAGGTGAAATGAAATGTGAAGATCCAGTCATTGTTAGTGTGTATGGAATCGCAGGCCTAGCAGAGACAGCACTAAGTTCTGGAGACCTCTGAGGTGGTTTGAGGGCCCCCGAGAGGTGTCCTTGTGAGGAACATGAGATAGGCCAGGGAAGGCGGGTTCTTGTGCTGAACAGTGAAGGCTGTGGTTTCCAGGTGGAGACTATCGGGGATGCCTACATGGTGGCATCAGGGATCCCTCGGCGCAATGGAAGCCGGCATGCAGCTGAGATCGCCAACATGGCCCTGGACATCCTCAGCTCCGTAGGTGACTTCCGAATGAGACATGCGCCTGACGTGCCTATTCATATCAGGGTTGGCCTGCACTCAGGTATGGACTGGGTACCACGGGGTGAGGGCCAGACCACTCCCCAACCCTCCCCCAGGGCATTGGCTGGGATCCCCTCAGTGGCATACTTCTGGAATTCCAAGATTCCAAAATTCTATGATATCACACTCTCTCTTCCCATTTGAAGCCAACTGAGGGATAGATGCAAGCATCAGGCACAGGTGGAGAGCTGGATGCCAGTTTGAGCGGCTCTGAGAAAGTGGCCGAGATGAGTGGCCACCATGGGGCTTTCTACTACTGCCACTTCCCCACAGTCTGGTCTTGGAGCATCTATCGAAGCAGAGCTGCATATCATAGAAAAAAGAAAATTAGAATCATTTTTTAAGATTCTAAGATGCTATAAATCAAAGAATCTGTGATGCTCCAATGTGAGTATCTCTTTGTCTCAGTAGCTGTCAAGAGCATCTAAGTCCATGGTGTAGAGTTGATAGTTTGATAGAACAGGCAGGATAGAAACTTGCTGTGGTCACACAGAGCAAATAAATGCTTGCTGGGGTGGGTCTGGGAGAGACCTGACTCTTATATATCCTTCCCATGCCCTGACCCCCTACTTCGTTCTCCCTAAATGGTTCTGGTCACCCACATGATAAAGTCTGCCGTCCCCCAGGTGACCCTCAAGGCCCTTGCTAACCTCTCCAGCTTCATCACTATTCCCTGTTGGGTTCTGCGTCCATAGTCATTACTCACAGCTCCATGTCTCATGGACACGTGGGCTCTGTACCTCAGCACCTGCAGTTCTCTGCCCACCATTTCTCACCTTCTAGACACAGCTCATGAATTACCTCCAGCAGTCTTCTGGGTTGGGTCAGAGGTCTCTCCTGGGCTGGCACTTCCCTCATCAGAGCAGTGACCACAGTTCACAGTCTCCCTCCACCAGGTTGTGAGCTCTCCAAGGGAAGGAACTGATTTGGCTGTGTCCTCTACTCCCAACCCGGAACCTGGTTTAGGTGTCACCTTCTCTCTGCCTAGCTTTACCTCACCTCCCATCTGGAGTCCAGGATGTGGGGTGGGGAATGGTCCTGGAGATGGGGAAAGACATAGCTGTCATTGGGCCACTCTCTGGTCCAGGACCTGCTGGAGCTTAGTGGGTGTATTTGGGTTCCAGGGCCTTGTGTGGCAGGGGTCGTGGGCCTCACCATGCCTAGATATTGCCTCTTTGGGGATACTGTCAACACGGCATCCCGGATGGAGTCCACAGGACTACGTAAGTATCTCATACTCCCATTCATCTCTGGGGACAAGTGCTCTCATTCTCAATGACCCCTGGAACAGCTCTTAGTATCCAAATCACCACCTGGTGGCAGTAAATTCTAGTTGCCAAGAAAGCAAATTTAAGGAGAAGATGCATGTCATTACTCCTTTTATTTTTCACAAGGGTTTTGCAATGATCTTGTGAGGATATTATTAGAGAAAAGAATGACTCAAGAGGCAGGAAACCTGGCTCTCATAGCTTGGGCTCTACAACTAGTTTACTTGGTGTCATTGAACAAAATACTCTTCCTTTAGGCCTTGGCTTTACCATCTTTAGAAGGTACCCTTCGAGATTTTATGTTTTGCTTTGATTATATGTTTTTAATACCATTTGAAAGTAGCAGGAGCCACTCTGATGACTTGGTTAGAGCATCTGAAAAGGTTGAGGGCCTCGGGCTGCTACTTCTGGTTTCCCAGTCTCTATTCCCTGATACCACTCATTGCACAATGTGGCAACCCTACTGAGGAGTACTGCTCTTCAAAGACAAATGAAACTGTTTATTTGCTCAGACTTAGTCTTCAGAGATTTTCCCACAAGTGAATTTATGTTACTAAGGGTTTTGACTTTATTCTGAGTTCCCATAACACTCAATATATGTACTTTGTTTTCCTTGGGACCTTTATTGTAGTGAGCAGTTGTCTGTTAAAGGGCCGAGAGGGCCAGAAGGATGCTGCATAAATCAGAATTGTGTGTGTGACTGTTTGAAATTGACAGCTTTACTAAACATTAGACATGCTGCCACCAGCTTGTGACTTGATTATTACTTTTCTTCTCAGCATACAGAATTCACATCAGCCGAAACACTGTTCAGACATTGCTCGGCTTGGATGAAGGCTACAAAATTGACATCAGAGGTCAAACTGAGCTGAAGGTGAGATAATTTACTTTTTGGTGAAAGTCCCCAAAGGTCCTTTTTCTGTTGGCAGCAGGAGTGATCTTCACCTGATCCGTGTGGCTGAAGGAAATACCTGCCATTGTTGGGGACAGAGTTATCACCTTTACGTAATCAGAAATTCCCAAATTCTAAGGAAACATTTCATCTTGAAAGTCACTACCTCATTTGGCTCCTTGTGAGGAGAAGGGCCAGGAGAGAAAAGTCACTTCAATTGATGGCCTACCTGGGCAGCCTGCTAGAGCACATCCACTGATGTCACTCACAGCAATCATGAAAGGAGGGACATTTTCATACGTGAGGAAATTAAATCAGGAAGGCGAAGTGGCTTGTCCAACAAAGTCACACAATGCATAACCCAGGTCTGGTTTCTCCAAAGCCTGAGACTTCACCATAGAACAACTAGGCTCCTACTCTTCCCTCAGAACCCTAGCTCCAACATGATCAAGGTTGTTCTAAGACCACCCTTCCTCCTTCTTTCCCCGAACATTGATTACCATGCCCATGGTGGGCACCCACCAAGCCCAGGACCACTTCTCTCTGTGTTGTAGATATGATGGTAGGTTACACTTGTCCATGAGCACCTCAAAGGCAGAGATGGGTTCTGTAACATCTGCACTCTTTTTAATGTTAACATCTGGTAAAGATGATGCCCAGTATTCCTATGTAAATCCTTTTTCTCCCTAACCCACCCACTTTCATTCCCCAGTTCTCTCAGTGGGAGATAGGCCCAGTAGGGGGACTGAAGCATCCCAGGCATTTAGAGACCTGGGGCTACAACTGGGTTCCAGAAAGTGAGTGTTCCACAGACTCACTTCATCACCGTGTGTGGGAAAGCAGGGGGTGTGGCTCAGAGAGTGTCAATAACTTGTCTGTGGTCACACAGCCTGCAAAGGGTAGATATATCTGGCCAATGTTCTGGGAAAGGTTCCTGGCTAAGATAGAGCAGGTGTGTCTGATTTAGTGGGGTTAGCACTGAGTATCCTGAGGAACAGTGTAGAAAAGCAGAGAGGGGCTGGGGAGGGCAGAATACTGAAGTCAGTCCTCCAGGTTCACCTGGGATCTCCAAAGGGTAATGTCCATCCCAGAAAAGTCGGGGTATGAACTCTCCAGCCAGCCCTGAACCCCGTGCTTCTCGTGCCTCCTCCAATCTACGCCTCTAAGCAGCTTTGGTCCCAGCACAGAGACGCTGCCAGGACCTTGAATAATGATAGTTGGAGAGAATCACAGAGCAGACTCCTGGGTTCTCAGTATCCCAGACCTTCTGATTGTGGATTTCAAATGGTTTGTGTATCTAACAGATAACTATTAATTTATCTCATCTTCATAGTACCTCTCTAAGGTATTAAAGAAGCAGAGTTACAGACAAGTAAAGGAACTTGGCCAAAGTCACAGCTAGTAAATAGAGCCAGGGTTTGAACCCAGGCACCCTGGCTCCAGGCTCTCTGCTGAAAGAACTATTAGAATCATACAATTCTGGCTTCATACTTCAGCTTGGGACGCTTTACGTGGGGAGGGACCTTTCAACCTCCTATTCTGTCTCTTCCAGGGGAAAGGTATAGAGGAAACCTACTGGCTGGTGGGCAAGGCAGGCTTCCCCAGGTCCCTCCCAACACCTCTGGACATCAAACCTGGGTGAGCAAGAAGGATTTCCCTCAAAGTCAGGATTCTTTATTTTTATCTTAATTATTTGCTATGTGTTACTATTGTGGAAAACTAGGAAAATTCAAAATTGTTCAGTGATGACAAGCATACCCTTTCCATTCCTGAGAAAGTGCCACGTCAGCATTTCAGGAAGCGGGTGGGGTGGGGAGGGGGGGTTTCATCCTAGCCTGTCTCTGAGTGCTTGGCTCGGATGAGCTCATGCTCCTGAGATCATTTTACATTCTGATCTGTGCTCTCAGCTCAACGTCCTGAGCACCTTCTCATATTGTTCAGAGCACGTTATAAACACACGAAGTTATTGCACCAAGATTGCAACATGTGGGCGCGCCACAATTTTCTCGGGCTCTCTCTTGTGTTGAGCATTTAGAATCTCTGCATTCTGAGATGATTACAGGCCTCGAGTCGAGAACACAGATCACAATGTAAAATGCATTTGTCACTATAAAGATCATTTCCTCAGGCAAGAAATCTATAGATCAAAGAGCACCCACATTTCAGGGGTCAAATAAAGCCAGCTCTCAGTTTGGCCCTTCCTTTTGTCTTTGAGACCCATGTCCCTCACTGAAGGGGGACCAGGGAAACAAAAACATTTTTACTCCAGTGTGTTGTTCTTCACCCACCTCTACTTCCAAATGGGCAGTCCACAGTAAGTGGAGGGTAAGGACCTACAGAAGCCAAGGGGCTTATTCCACCAGTGGAGAGCTTGAGCCCAGAGAGGGGGTCCCAGAGCATGACTGCATCTGGGTTCTTGTCTCCCTGCCCAGTTTTCCCCTCATTGGAACTTCTGACTGCTTCCTCCCAGCATTTCCAGGATGATCCCCTCCCATTGCTCAAGATGAGAACTGTGTGGGACCCACATGGGTGTCCTTGGAAAATGACCAGGGCTAAAGTAGACCCCGTAGAGCGTCTTCCAAGGGGTTACTGACAGAAAGCTGGTCATAGCAGAGCTTTCCCTTTTGTCCAGCTGTCAGGGACCCCATGGCCTCAGGAACCCCCAGAGCAGGAGCAGAGCGATGCTGAGGGCAGGCATTGCCCCTGCTCATCCCTGAGCCTGCCACACAGAGGGGCTTCCAGTGAGGGAAGGAGGAAAAAGGGACAGATGGGCAGATTCAGGCATATAAAGGGGCCTCCTGGCATAGAATGCATAGGTCGCCATGTTAACAAGGACAACCAGCCTCCTAGGTCCTGTGTTCATGGAGAGAATTCACTCAGCTAGGTCCTTCTGCTGTCCAGACAGGCTCAGTCTGGGCTGCTTGCTGAGGGAGCAGCATGGTGTGAGGACAGGAGTCAGGCATCGGCAGAGACTGGTACTGTGCCTCGGGCCCTTCTCCCCTCTGACCCTGGCTCCAAGGGCCCTCCCAGCAATTATGATAGAGGCCAAATCTCTTCCCAGGCATCATAGCAGCCACAGCACTTCCCCTCACCACACCACCTCCCCACAGTAGAATGAACTAGGGCCCTTTTTGCCCCTTTCTCTTACATCTCCTCCCGGTGTCTTCCTGGTAGCCTGTGAACATGTCTGACTCTTGCACCTTCCAAAACATGGCTTCCTTTGACCTTGAAGGCACCAACCCCCCCACCCCACTTGACAGCTGCTGACACTCCCTCCTCCACCTCCTTTTGGCCTTGCCTTCCATCCTCACCTGCACAGCCGGTTCTTAGGAAGGTCAACAGTGACCTCCATCCATGTCACTAGACCTGTGGGCAGTTTGAGTTCTCAATTTCCCTTCTCAGCACATTCCACCATCTCTCCTCGGCCTGGCACCGCTCCCTCCTTTTCCAGTCATCAGCCTCCAGCTCCTTCCCAGCTCCTCTCCTCGCCTTTCCCCCAGTCCCCCCTCCCTGCTGTTGCTGCCTCCTCCACACTTAGGCCTTCCTTACTATGCGGACATCCATGTGTCCTTGGAGCCCCAATGTCCCTCTGAGCTCCAGAACCCCCATAGCTCACAACACCCCCTCCAGGATTCCTCCTGGAGCTCTCACACACCTCAAGCCCACTAGGTCTGTCCATCCTCACAATCTGGCCCTTCTCTGGTATTTTCTTCAGTGAGGACATTACCATCCCAAGACACATGGACAGATGCTGTCCTGGATGTTGCCTTTTGCCACCTGCCCCATCTAAACTGCCAGTACACCTGCTAGCTCTGCCTCGACTTCTGATCTCTACACCTGGTCCACTCTCAACCAGCTTCCTTCTCTCACTCATACTCCCCTTGATTCCCCAGACACAGCCATCATTAGTATGAAAATTCTCTGCTGAGCATATCTTGTCTTCCTACAACCGTTAGGCTAAAGCCTGAACTCTTCTTGGAGCCTCAAAGGCCCTGCCGGATCTGGCCTCTGCCCTCCCAGCACCTACTCCTGCTCACCACCTGCTTCCGGGGTTCTGCACTGTTCTTTAAAACACACCAAGCTTTGTCCCTCCCCAGAGCTTTGCTCTTACTGTTCCCCAGACCTGGAGTGCTCTGCCTCTGGATGTTTGTAGGCCTGATCTGTCTCTATCACACAGGTCTCGAATGCCAAAGGCCTGCTAAACTGAGCCCATCTCCCAGCATGCAGTCTTCATGCTGTTGTCGCTGGGTACTGTTGAGTTGATTTTCAACTCATAGACGACATGTGACAGAGTAGAACTGCCCCAGAGGATTTTATAGGCTATAGTCTTTACAGGAAAAGGTCACCAGGTTTTTCTTTGGTGGAGTAGGTGAGTGGGTCCACTGTTGGACCACCAGGGCTCCTAGTGGTTTTCTTGTTGTTATTGTTAAATGCCATCAAGTTGGTTCCAACTCATAGTGACCCCACACAGGGTTTCTGGGCAGTGACTGGTGCATTTGAACTGCCGACCTTATGGTTAGCAAAGCAGGGCTTATCCTGCCATCCCAAACCAGGATTCCTTAGCACATGGAAATAGTCACAGCCTGAGATTTCTTGCTAATGCGTTTATGAGTCTTTCCCCTGCCTGTAAAAGCTTCATGAGGACAGCTGCTCCTCACCTCCGCCTGGCCACCCATCAGTGCCAGACATGAGCTGCCAAGTCTCCTGTGCACCAGCTGGGCTCTGTCCATGCGGACCATGGGGCACCTGGCTCCCAGCACTTCTAGCTCATCCCATTCTGGGATTGGGAACCAGGGTGTCCGGCAGCCATTTGTCATCTCCAGCTCCCTCTGTTGATGACTTTCCCACTCCTGGACAGAAACGTTAGAAAGTGCCAGAGATGTTTTCATCTTCTTGGATCAGGGAGGGAAGAGATTGGACATTTGCCCCATTGAGCAGCATTTCACTTGGGAGCCTCCCAGGCCTCCAGCCAGGCAAGGGGAATGCCTGCATCCACCTAGACACATGGACTTAGCTCACAGATGTATGGGTGCACACACATGCAAATTCACATGTATGCACACACATGTATATGATCAACACTCATCTGAATATCAGACATGTATGTGCATAGAAATAACATCACTTGTCCCTCCTCTTGCTTGGAGATGAGTGAGATTACACACAGATAACTGCCCCCTCTCTGCCCGCCCCCAGAGATGGCTTGAAGGCTTTTGGTACCTGTTTTGTGTTCACAAGACAGTTAACAATTCATTATATGTTACAATTTTTTTTTTTTTTCAGTTTCCTAAAGATGCATATATCGTCATCTTAGGTATTTTCCATATCTGCAGAAATAATTAATTTTTACATTTGGGGACATTTGGTGGAAATCAGGGAAAGGGGACAAGCACCCTCCACTTCCCCCCAATAGCAGTGCTCACAGAGGGTCTCCCACAGCCGGTCAGAGACACCTGACACAGTGGCCCCCTCCCTGCCAGGTCTCTGTGAGGCCCTGGCTATTATATGCAGCCTTGTTTCGGACTCTGTGTAAAGGCAAGACCCCAGCTTGTATTGGCTTCCTAGAGCTACTTTAATAAAGTACCACAAAGTGGGTAGCTTGAAATGACAGTTATGTATGGTCTCACAGTTCTGGAGGCGAGAAATCTGAGTTCAGGGTTCAGGCCTGGAGAGCCTTTCTTCTCTCTCCCATCTCCTTCAGTTTGCCAGTGCTGGAGTGTGACTCTGTCTCGGCCTTTTCTTCCACATCTCTTCTCTGCTCTTCTAAGGACACCACTCCTATGCAAACCACTCATACTGAATTGTGGCATACTAGGAGAAGCACTAGACCACAAGGTTGGTTTGAGCTGCAAGATCAGCAGTTCAAACCCACCAGTCGCTCCTCAGAAACCCCATACAGGGTCACTATGAGTCAGAACCGACTCGACAGCACTAAACAAAGACAACTTTTCTCCAAAGAGCCCTGGTAGTGCCACAGTTAAGTGCTGTCACTAGGGGTCAAACTTGATAGCCGCCAGGCACTTGTGGGCAGTGAATGAGAAAATAAAAGTGGCTGCAGGGTGGAAGTCCAATGTCCCCACCCAGAGTTTATATAACAACCCAGAGAGTCCAGAGCCTCAGGCCCTTCAAAAACTCATGCTGGGAAGGTGACAGATCTGAAGTTATGTCCCATCTCCTGCGAGGCCACTGGGCTTGAAGCCACACCTGTAGTTTTATGTGGCCTTGGAAAGGGGGGCCACAGTTGGTCCCTAGCAAGGCTGCTGGAAGGACCAGAAGATACAAAATGAGAGGGACTTCACTGCCAACAATGGATTTATTGTGGTTGGTGCTCTCTTTACCCCAGAGACCCCTGGCAGCACCTCATAAACCAAGAAATCAAGGTGGCCTTTGCCAAAGCACGCCAGGGCATGGCCGGGCCCGGAGCTCAGGGAAGGCTTCAACTTGGCCCTGAGGAGAGGAACCAAGCAGACAGGTATCTGAACATTCCACACCTGCTCCCTGCACCACTCCACTCAGAGACCTTGAATTCACACTGAACTCCCTGAAAGCCTACAGGAGCTCATTAATGAGTGCCCTGGAGCGCTACTAATTCATGCATTCCTGTGTGAATCCTAGGGGTAAACTCACCTCTTAGCATAAAAACAATAAAAATAGACCGATTCTCATCTTTTCACACAAGGCTTTGTTCCTGACAAATTGTTTCCATATGAGAGCTCTTTATTGAGAGACCTCATTATTCTTCCCTTCAGGGAACACTGTCCCTGTTTTACAACGGAGGTGACTGAGGCCCAGAGGGAGGAGGCCAATGACAGCTTACGACCTGGGGCAGAAGCAAGACTAGGGCCAGGGGGCTGGAGCCAGCAGAAAAGAGTTCCAGGCTTGGGCAGGCTACCTAGCCATACAGCATCACTTCTCAAAATCTGTTTTGTCATCTCAAAAATGGGTGTTGAGAGGATTTAAAACTTCCTAACAAGCTCACCAGCTGCTCCTTGGAAACCCTAAACAGGGTTGCTATGAGTAGGAACTGACTCGATGGCACTTGACAACAACATAGAGAGCCCTGGTGTGGCACTGTGGGATAAAGCACTAGACTGCAATGTTGATTTGAACCATAGGGTTGGTGGTTCAAACTCACCAATTGCTCCTCAGAAACCCTGTAACGGGTGACTAGGAGTTAGAACTAACTTGACATCCCTTGACAACAACAGCAATAACACATAGCTTGGAGCTTGGTGGCTCAAGAGAGAGTGTCTTAAGTACTAAACTGGAAACCAAAAGCTTGGTTGCTCAAGCCCATCAGCTGCTTCTCAGAAGAAAGATGAGGCTTTCTGTTCCCACAAATGGATTGTTGTTAAGTGCTGTCAAGTTGGTTCTGACTCATAGCGACCCTGTATAGGGTTTCGGAGGAGATGCTGGGGAGTTTGAACTGCTGACCTTGCAGTCCAGCGTCACAAAGATTACAGCCTCAGAAACCCTATACAGGGATCACTATGAGTCAGAACCGACTCAGTGGCACCTAACAACAAAGAGAGAGCCCAATCCAAAGGGAGCTCTCCCCCTCACTGCCTTTCTTCCCCAGTCAAGCCCAAGTCTTTGGGTATCTGTGAGCACTGTGTTGAGAGTCCAGAACCTCAGGATAGGGGAGAAAGGGATAAGAAGTCCTTGGCTCTCAATAAAATGAGACTTCTGTCTTACAGGGGGAAAAGAAAAGAAAGAAGCCCACAACTAACTCATTAACCAGGCTTTCAACATCAAAGAGTGTTCACCGAATACCCGCGGGTGATTTCCAGGAGGGGTGGGTGGGGAGGGAGGGGGGCAAAAGCACATGGCGAGGGCCACAGGGGCAGGTTAAACCCTAAACAAACTCATCCTTCTTCAAAGGACCCCTTGAGAGGGGTGAGCTGTCACTGAAACTTCAAACAAGGGGTCTTTGGGAAATGCTTCCGCCCCAGATGTTAAGTGGTATACGTGTACACCACACGTGTACATGTACATATATGTGTGTGTATGTGTGTCATTCAAGGGCATTCACACTCTAACCCAACTCATCTGCACCCTACACACCCAATTCTCTGGCTACAGCAGACTGCTTACTCCTAATGCGACATCTTTGCTCCGGCAGCTTTCTCTACCTGGATACCTTATGCTATTTTCACATCCAAGTCCAACTAAAAAGTCACCTTCTTTGTAAACCTTTCCCAACCTCCTCTGTATGTAATTAATAGTTTCCATGCTTGACTCCCCATGATCGCAGGGACCTTGTCTAGCTCATTCTTTTGGTCTAATGCCCAGCAGGAGGCGTGCACTAGGAGGGTGAATAGATGAGTGAACAAATGAATAAAGAACTGACTCCAAGTTGGCCCTGAGGCTTTCATGAACAATCTCACCTCCTGCAAGGTCAGCTCCCGAGGTTTGCAGCCTAGCTTCTGCTCTCTGTTCTCGGCACCTGGACTTAGTTAGCCTTATACTTAGATGGGATCCAGCACACCTGGCATGTGTGGTGTTTTGCAAGCCACAGGCCTCCCTTGATGTTTCATCTCTCTGCACCACCATCCCTCACACTATGATGGATTCTCTCACCTCCAAGCCCTGCATCAGCCTGGAGTTCTCTTTCCCAACACCTCTACGTCCCACCCCTTCTGGCCAACTCTTCTTCACCCTTCAAGACTCAGCTTCTCTGCCTTGGACTACCCCTTCCATCTCTGGCTGCATTGTAGGTGTGGCCCTGTGACTGGGCACTTCCTGAGGGCAGGACTGGGTCTAAGCTCTCTGTCTGTGACCCCAGTCTCTGGCATAGGACTGGGCACTGACTTGACGAGCAAAGGTCAGTAAGATGAAGCAATAAAATGGGGTAGGGGTGGAGGAGGCTGCTGTGATGACAGATGAACATCACTAAGAAAATCCATATGCATGAAAATCCAGATTACAGCTGTTGGTACATAGCCTACACTTGGAGGGTAGAGGGGGTAGAGGGAGGGTGTGCATGTGTTGAGCACCTATGGTGTGCAGGATCTCAAGGAACTGTCTTCGCAGCCCTAGGAAGTGGGAAGCCTCATCCCCAGAGATGCCTGAGGAAGTGAGGCCCTGTGAGTACACGGGACTAAACAAGGGGTGGCGCTAGTGATGCCTAAGGCCATGTTCTTTCCTGAGGCTCAGCCATGCCACCTCTCGTCTGCCTCAGGCTTCCTTGCACAAGTCACTCCTGATAGATACCCCAGCCTCCCCATCACATGACAGGGTGGGACTGAATCTCTAAGATCCCCCAGTGAAGGGTTTCGTGAGTCTGCAAGCCTTCTGTCACCATGATGTTCAGATACAAATTTCTTTTATCCCAAAGAACATCACAATGATCACTCAAATATCCACTAGGGGGCAGGCAAGTTGTTCCAGAGAGAACCTTCAGCAACCCTGGAGTCTGGTGGGGCCCCTCCCCAGCCAGCAGGCTCCCTGGGTGTGGCGGCCCCAGTCAGGGAAGAGAGAATGGTGATCCACTGAGTTATAGTGAGGCCCCACTCCATGGAGGAGTCTTGTTTGGGGAAATTGCCCTGACAACTGAAGGACAGTGAGAACGGCAAATCTCAGTGCCCTGTTCCCATTCAAGAGACCCTACCGAGGTCAGCATACTTCAAAGTTTTGTCCAGTCTCCAGTAATTTGCATTTTCCATTAATTAACATATAGGTGATGTGCAGTCGTTTATTAAATGCTGTCCTTGACTCATTTCCTATGAGCCCTCTCCTGGAGGTAGGTGTAACTATTCCATTCTATAACCAGGAGAATGAGTGGCAGGTCTCTTCAGTCCTGACTTGATGGCCTCCTTCTAGAATCCAGCTGCATGTTGGGCATCTCTTCTCCCCCCCATGAACCGTGGTTCACCCTAACTGTGCTATGCCCTGTCGTCTTGTCTAGAACCAGGGGTGGTCAGCCTTTTTACCCTGTCCTTGCCATGACACCCCATGCCAAGTCCCTACAACCAATCACCCAAGTCCCTTCCAGTGCACCATAATGGTCTCTGCTTTTGTCCAGGCCTCATCTCTGCTGTGCTCTGTAACAGCACTGGCCTTCTTGCTGCTCTTCCTGCCTCCGTTCCCCACTAGCCCATCCAGTCCCCAGAGTCTTTACTGAAGCAGTGATTCACCATGTCTCCTTCCCAGCATGCCCCTGATGCCTCAGCCTCCTGGTCTGCTGGCCCAGGCCCTTGACTACAAAGCTGTTTCCAACCCACCTCACCCTCTCCCCGGCTGCCCTGATGTTTCCTACCCTCATAACTTGGCCCATCTCATCCTTTCAAATTGCTCACACACACCCTTTCAGCCTATTGGTGTTGTTAAATGCTATTGAGTCAGTTCTGACTAACAATGACCCTGGATAGAGTTTCCAAGGAGTGAGTGGTGGGTTTGAACTAACCTTGTGGTTAACAGTCCAGTGCTGATCCTACAGCACCACACCAAGATTCTAAAAACCTTTCAACCATGAGGATTTCATAATGAAAAAGATTCCTATGAATAGTTTTAACAACTGCTCTCCTAACACTTGGAACTTGAAACCTTCTCACCATGGTGTCCAGGTACAAATTCATTTTACATTGAGGACCATCCCAATGACTCACGCAGTCTGTTTCCAGAAGAGCCACTGTTAACTAGATACGTGGCCTGGGGAAAACAGGCCACAGGGTCAGTCTGTTCTACCAAAGTGTCTTATCACATTCCACACCTTGATTCAACCCCCAAACCAGACCCAGTGAGAAATAGAATCATGACAGAAGGTTTCCTGGGAGCCTGGGCAGAAAACTGACATCACAGATCATGTAGCTCAGCGTCATCGATAACTGTTTAAATCACACATCATGTAGCTCAGCATCATCGATAACTGTTTAAATCACACATCATGTAGCCCAGCGTCATCGAT